ATGTCTGGGGAATCTCGACAGAGGTGATTCATATTCGGGCCTGTTAAAAACCTTATCTCAGTTCTCTCTGTTCCTGCTGTCTCATCCACTGCGTCAAAACCTTTTTACAGCACAGTAATGACACAAACAGTACTACCACAAAGGACAGATGTCATTGTACACAAGGGCAGACACACACATATACACATACCCCTTTCTCTTGGAGACTGTTCTACCTGCTTCATGTGACACAGAGTATGATCTGACCCTACAACTTGTGCTGTGCACAGCATACAAAAATATCCCCTGGTTGAATGCACCCCAATGTAAATCATCAGCAGATCTCTAGTGATAGCATCCTATTCCCATCAGATCAAGGTCTGTGTGGCAGTAACAGCATGCAAAACTGCTCAACAGTCTGTGGCTCAAGCAGAGATTTTACCCAAGGGTTACAACATTGACCAACACCAGCTGCACCCTGGTATAGGTGAGCTAGATAATCAACTCCTCCAGCTGCAGGAAGAAACAGATTGAGGCAAGACTGATGAAATTAACATTGCTTTATCACACAGGCCAGGATGCAAATTAGTCCTGCCCTATTACACAACAAAATAAAAACATATACCTGTGGAGCCACTGTTATCTGTAGCTTCAGGACCATACTGAATTCCTGTGAACCCTATAGCTCTCTTGAGACATAAAGCAATGTTCATGGCCATACGGCAGTTTTAATATGATATTTTTCAAGTCATGACATGTAATCAGCTCTACGCTATGGCCTGGATTTCCAAAACCAGTGGTTGCACGCTCACCTCTTCAAAATGAATTAATGTATGAAGATAGGCTGAGAAAGTTGGGGCTGTTCAGCCTGGAGAAGTGAAGGCTGCATGGAGACCTCATAGCAGCCTTCCAGTATCTGAAGGGTGTCTATAGGGATGCTGGGGAGGGCCTCTTCATTAGCGACTGTAGTGATAGGACAAGGGGTAAAGGGTTAAAACTTAAACAGGGGAAGTTTAGATTGGATATAAGGAGGAAATTCTTTTCTGTTAGGGTGGTGAGGCACTGGAATGGGTTGCTCAGGGAGGTTGTGAATGCTCCATCCCTGGCAGTGCTCAAGTTCAGGTTGGATAAAGCCTTGGGTGAGATGGTTTAGTGTGAGGTGTCCCTGCCCATGGCAGGGGGTTGGAACTTGATGATCTTAAGGTCCTTTCCAACCATAACTATTCTACAATTCTATGATTCTGTGTTCCAGTGAGAACATTGTCATCTTGTGTGTGTGTGTGTGTGTGTGTGTGTGTGTTTTCTCAGGCAATTTGCCTCTCCCTTGAACTCTGTGTCAGGTAGAGAGTCCCAGTCACAGCTCCTACTGCTTTTATTGCCGCTTCTCTGTTAAGCAGACAACTGCCATCACACACATTTTACCAGTGCAAAAGTAGCGCTTTTCCTTTTGTCTCTGTGACAAATCTTTACTTTAAAAGGACAAAATAGATAAACTTCTGCTTCCATCCTTTCAAAATTATGCCAGGATGAAGGACATGTATAGGTTACTGTGAGAAAATGCAGGATTATCAGTGACTGGTGCAAAATACAGATGGACTGAACTTCAGTTCTATCTCCTATGACAAAATTAAAATAAAATACCGATCTCATATTATCAAGCATGGATTACCTCCTCCGGGGGTAACCTCCAAATCCACTCTGCAAGTTTTACCTTCCCTGGAGCAGCGAGCGGCAGGGAGCGGGTTTAGCCGTGCCTTTCCAGCAAGGGAACAGGCGGTGGCAGTGTGGCCTATTGCTCTTCGCAGGGCTTTTATTGGCGTAAAAGAACTGATTCCCTTTCCCTCGGCGGTATGACTCAAAAGAAACCAGAAGGAAGTGGACAGATGTAGAAACAGTCCTGACTAAGCTTCACTTGCATATATCAACCATAGGATTAAAAAAAAAGGAGTGGGGGGAGGGGGAGTGAAGGGAAGGGGAAAAAAAGGGGGGGGAGGGATCCCAACCAAAAACTCAACCAACAAAATAATTAAAAAAAATTGATCAGCACTTCATTTTCCATGTGGTCCTAGAGCTATACCTAGGAATAAAGTTGTGTGCATGTAAGAGGAAGCCCCTGTTGTTGACCTGTTGTACGTTTAAACTGAACACCTCAGTGTTCACTCTTAACATCCTTTTCCTCTAAGATTCCTGTAGTTGAAACAAATCTGTTTCCAAGGTACAAACACACCTTGTTCCTTGAGTCCTAACACAGAGAGATGGATGAAGAGAAGGGAAAGATGAGTGAAAGGACCAATTTCAATATAAATATTATTTGTAAGGAATTCTGATGAAGAAAGTTTGCATGGTGGAGTCAGAATAAGAAATATAATAAGAATACAATAATAAGAAATATAATAAGAACTAAGTCTTATACAGAAATACCTGGTGTTCTGATCTTCTGGACTCCATCAAACACTGCACAAAAAGCAAAAGGTTTTTGTATGTGATTCCTTGTCCCTTAGACACTATATGCATCATAATTCAACCTCTTTTTTCAAAAATCTAATGAACAATCTATTACAAATTGCAGTTCTTTCAGAGATAATCGCACATACATTGCTTTGCATCTGCAAACAGCACTGGCAAACTATTTGCCTCTCAAAAGATTCAAGGTTGGGTTTTTCATTTTTATAATTCAGTTGAGAAGAGGGGTTAATCCAACATAAATCACCTTCAAGGAATTGCTATTGATGGGGCAATCAGTTACATGATACTTTCTTCAGGTAAGAAAAGCCTTAATTAATTTCTGTTTCAGATCCTGGCTAAGCATTGTCTGAACTGCTGTGAAGGCAAAATTCTTTCTCTCTCCTCTCTCTCCCTTCCCATCCCCCTCACAAATTTTCCAGTCAGCATTCCTAGTTACAAGGAGAGAAATGTATCTCAGAAATCTCATTAAAGGCTTTAAAGCCCAGAGAAAAACTGATTTTTTTTTTTTTTTTTTTTGCCATGGATCTCACAAACACAAAAGTGCACGTTCTTTCAAAATAAAGTTAATACAATTCAACAGTTCTTCCAACAGAGGCAATGCTGATGTGCCAAGAGACTGCAAGCCTTGTTAGTGGCATCTCAGGACACCCTCTACAGGGGTATTTTCTAAATCCTGAGTCCATTTCAGGTGCATTTTGTGCATGAAACCAAACTGGTTTCAACTATAAAAACTATCCAGAATTCAAGTTTGTGCAGGATTTCAGGAATGGAGAAGAGGGCAGGGAAAAGGAGGGGAGGAAATGTTTCACATTTTTTAGAATATCTTCTAATCTTCTCAGTACCCCTCACTCATACGTGCTGAGAATGTAGTATCTATTGTTTACTGGAACTGCTTTTGTGACTGTCTGTATGTCAGCATAAGGGTCTAGCATAGTTTCTAACATAGTTTACATTCCTTCCTAGCTGTGATGTGTCTTCCCCATTGTTTTTCCTGCCTTATCCTGCCCATTCTTTTTTTGTTTTCTTGGTTGGTTGGCTTGGGTTTTTTTGTTTTTATCCTTACATTTTTCTGCTACATTTTTCCCCTGTCCATTGGAAGTACTGCCACATACCTCCAACTTCTTTCTTCCCACAAATTCCCACTCCTCTTCTCCAGCTGGTACCCCCACAGCTTATCTCCAACCTTCCTGCTTCTGTACATAACCTTTCCCATTTACAGGGAAAGAGCATGTCACTCCATTTCTCTTAACCAGTGAAAGTATTCTCACATATCGTTAACCTGACCTCTCCTGTGATACGCCATGTTAGAACAAAAGGGGATGACATTAGCCAGACCAAGTGATGAGAAAGGCTAGAGCTCCCTCCCCCTCTTAAAGAAAAAAATGGAAGAGAGACAAAGAGTAAATGAGGGGAAAAGGATTGCGGACTCCTCAGCATGGAGCCAGTTCCTCCTCCCCATCCCGAGTGTTTTCAGAATAAGGAAGGTGCCCCAGTTTCTTACAGTACAGTATACCCAAATACAAGGATTATCCCAGTTTTTCCCCAGCGACACTGTATCCTCAATGCTGCTTAAAGTTCTGGTGAAAAAAACAATCTACAGCAGCTCTGTTTGAGCCCCTGAGTGCCTCTGAAATAGCAACACATGAAACTAAAAGCCACGTTAAGTTTTTAAGAAACATCAATTTCCCGTTTGCACCTACGGGGGGGGGTGGGGGGGTGGGGGGGGTGATTTTTTTTTACTTTTAATCCTGTAACCCTGGATCGTGAACTTCTTTTTTTTAAACCTGCACTCTCCTTTTCCCCAGCCATTGCATGTCCCTTTTCCCTCCTCCTTTCAACCCACCGTTGAGTAGAGTGCTTAAACAGTAGCTCGAAGCTGTGTCCAGACATGGTGTGGGAACTTCAGCCTTCCTCTGGCTCAGACACTGTACTGTAGCTGGGTGTGTAAGAAGCCACTTGTGGCAACGCAGGCAGGCACAGACCTTTGTGGAGTAGAGCTGGTCGGGTTTTTTTCAACTTCTAGTTGCTCAAATCCCTCACTATCACTTTACAACGAACAAGGAGAAGGAGGCTTCGGTTCATCTCTCTGCAAATCCTCAGGATAGCATGGATAAAAACCTCCAGAGAGCTGGGAAGCCCCACAAACCAGCAACACTACCCCCTGCACACAGTCCTGCCTGAAAGTTTAACCTTCACAGCAGGGACCAATAAAAGCAGCTTCGCATCTTATATTTCTAGGTTGAAGCTTCTGTACACATGTACAAAATGCAGCTCTGTGAAATAGCAAAGTATCTTAAATATGTAACATAATGCAAAGTACCTATGGGGAGGATACATGAGGACAGTATATATTTTTGCGTTTAAAACGTGTGCGCCTGTTTGTTCCCGTGGGGGGTGCGGTGCCACAAGAACCCGGTCTCCCGGCGGGTGCGGGACAAGGCGGCACAGCCGGAGCCTGCGGCTGACGAGAGCCGGGCAGGGCAGGGCAGGGCCGCTGCGCCGGACCCTTCACCCCGGCGGAAAGGGAAGGAAAGAGAAAGAGCAGGGAGGGGACGGGGAAACGGAGAGGAATGCGCGGGCCTCTCCTGCCCTGTCCCGGGAGGCTGCGGCGGGCGGAGCGGAGGGTGCGGGCAGTGCCTGGCACCTGCGCGGCGGGCGGGGCAGAGCCCGGGGCGGTGCTGGGTGCTGGGCCCGGCCCGGCCTTCAGCGGCTGAGCCCCTGAGTTCGGGAGGCGGCAGCTGCGGCGGCGCAACAGGTTATCGGCGCGGAGCGGAGCGAGTCCCAGCGGTGCCCATGGCCGGCCGCGGCCTCGCCGCCGAGCAGGGCTACATCCGCACGGTGCTGGGCCAGCAGATCCTGGGGGAGCTGGACAGCTCCAGCCTGGCGCTGCCCTCCGAGGCTAGGCTCAAGCTCTCGGGCGGCCGTGCCGGGGAGGAGAAGGCGCTGCGCATCCAGCGGCAGGTCCAGCAGACGCTGGCCAGGAAGAGCCGGGGCTCGCTGTACAACGGTGAGTGCCTGTCCCCGACCCCTCTGTGCTGTGTGGAGGTGGCGGGAGCACGGGAAAGGGCCCAGAGGTGAGACCCGAGCCGGCCATGGGTGGGCGCAGCCGTGTCCGCGGCTTTCCCGGCCCCGGGAGGAAGTTTGGGGCAGCTGCGGTACTGCACACTGGCCTTTGCCGGGTTTGGCAGAAAACGTTGGCGCTGTCTCTTCTTCCCTTTCTTTTGTTCCCACCCAAGTAATTCAGAAGTTTCTCCTTGCCAAGCGCCGTAACTGGAGTGAGTGCCGGGGGCTGCTCCCAGTTCACCGCTGCCAGGGGGAAAAGTCGAGCCGAAGCTCTCCAAATCATGCAACCGGTTACTGGGCTTGTTTTAGTACTTTAGCTTCACCCGCTGGCCCTTTTTGCGAAATTAAATGGGAAGAAATATAGGAAATGTTTGTCCTTGTTCACCTCCAAATAATAATAATTAAAAAAAAAAAAAAAACTAAAAGAAAGTTTGCAAAAGTAACTTTAGGAAAGGCGTGACTGGGAAACATGGACTGATAACACTACCAGGTATTATTTACCCTGTTCCTTAACGTGCATCATAAAAATTGATGTCAATCAATGCTTGCTTCTGTGATCTGTAGCCAGAGGGCGAGACCCGTCAGTGAGGTCCATGCAGTCATGCCTTTCACCCCATCCGGGGTCCAACTGCAGTGACAGACGCACACACACAGGGTGACCTTGTCAGGAGCCAAGGGTTAAAGGCAAGCTGCTCAAGAGGTTTCGTCTTAACTAGCAATGGTGAAGAGATATGTTGTTATCAAAGTAAAGCCTCATCATAAAAATTTTAATCTTGCTTTTAAATAGGAAGATATGACTGACCTACAGTCTGTATAACCTCTTGCTGTCATTAAAGAAGCTGTCACATTTCATTCCCAAAAAGCTGCAAGCCAAATGTCTTTAAATTTGTAAATTTCTATTTGTTAATTTTATTTGTAAATGTAATATTTGTATACTTCACTCATCTGGCTTGTCAGGCAGAGGAATGTTTCTTTGTACCTTCAGCTGGTTTCTATCTAAAAAATGCCTACACTGCGAACATGGACACACTCTGGTCAGAAAAATCAGGTACACAAATCACATAAACAGCTACACACAGCTACGCAAAGAGCAGCTACACATGCAAGTCCTTAACTTGGCTGCTCTCAAATGAGATTTCTAAACACTTTTCAAATAACTCAATTTTTTTTCTCTCAATAGAGAGCCTGAGAAATGCTTTTTAAGCAATTGTTAATAAATTCTATGGTGTCTTGAACCTGAGATCATGTCCCTAAATCATGCATAAAACACTATGAAGACAAAGTTCCTGGCCTCCTAATGCATCTTTAACTTCTTTGGAATACATTAAGAGGCCTGATGGATTTGGAGATAGTTGTCTTGGTTTGCTTTGTTTTTCTAAAGTCAAGTATCTGAGCCCTTTGCATTTCTGAGATACCAAAACTTTTAAGCTTCAGGATCAGGAGTGTCATATGAGATGGTTCTGTATTGTTCATATATTAAATGATTTTTTTCTTCATTTAAATGTGTTATTGTGCCCATCTCACCACACATTTTTCAGTCCCAGTTCAAAACTTAAAAAAAAAATAATTGAAACTGACTGTATTCCATTTATTTATGCATACATACATAAATAATAATGTATATGTATATCTATCTGTATCTTAAATATATATAACGTGAATCAAATGTCTATCATTTGCTTAACAACTTGACTTTCCTGAAAAATATATGTGTCTCAGTATGCTTTCTATATAGATTTCCCCAAATTTTGACTATGCTTTGGGAAACACTTGAATTCTTATATGCAGGGTACGTTTAAAAATATGCAGTTCTACATGCAAAAACCTCACTTTCTCTGATTTATATCAGTTTTCTAGATATGTTTACCAAGGGTCCCATGTTGTTTGCAGTGCAGGAAAGATGATACAGATTTAGAAGGAGCAGAAGCAGGCCCTTGTGATATAACTGTCCTATCTGTAGGAGTATTTCAGACTCTATTCATCAAGGTACTTAAGCACATACCTAACCAGCATATTCACATACATGCCTAAATTTAGCCAAGCACATAACCACTGGGTATGAAAAATCAGTTGTAGTAAAGGTCTTACTCAGTATCATCTGTGCACACCCATTTTTCACTGACTGTACTGGGAGCTTTGAATCTGCAGGAAGTACTTTGTCAGGCAGCATAAAATCTCCTTGGAGTTTCAAATTAAAGGTGTCTGCTTAGCCTTCAGCATTACCTTTAAATGGAAAAACATCTTTTCGCCTCCTACCCTCATGTTTGCTGTTTCACGCCCTCCCCCCCCCCCCCCCTTTTTTGAGGGTGTATTTATTCTTTTTTATAAAGAAATTCGGCTCATGCTCAGATGACTTGAGGATTGTACCTGCTGCCAAATGAAGTTATGTACTGCTTCAACTCTTTCCAAGACTTAGTCCAATGTTGTTAATAGGTTTTCAAACAGTAGTTTAACAACAGCTGTAACTTTTCCAGTTCAGCAGTTGCTGAACCTTTATAAATTAAAGATTATGCTGCCCTAAAAAATTTTGAACAACTACAGCAGCTGTGTCAAGTTTTGGAATTCTATTTAAGGATGGAAATGGTATGGAAGATAGTTCAGCCTTATCAAAGAAAAACGGCATTCAGAATCATATTACTCTAATGACTAGTGTTTTTCAGCTTGCATATATATGACGCAATACTACTGATTATTTTATGCACATTTTAGGAGTCTGTTAAACCTTATGCTGTATATATCAGTCCATTTGTCTCTGATCTTGTTCATTTGATTTTGATTACAAATCCTACTTTTCTATACATCCTTATCAATTTCATTGTAAAAAATGAAGGCAGAATTGAGTAATATACCATACAAAACCAAGCGGCCTGATAAACTGCTGTCTGTCTAAAGATTCTTTCTCTAACACAGACTTATAAACAGTGTGTTTAGGAAAAACAGAATTAAAACTTCTGTGATTTCCAAATCAACAGGATCAGATGCAAGATGGTTACAGAGCCTTATTTATTTTTTTATGTTTCTTCATTTCTAAAATACTTAGTAGCTTTTTTTATTAAAATAGCTTGCTTTTAGGAGTTTGGGGGAGTATTCAATCTTTAACCTTCTATTTTGCAAAATTACTTTGTAGCGATTATCTGTTTATAACTCTGTGGAAAAAGGAAGCAGAAAAATTCCTTGTTGGTGACTTCCACTCTTTTTTGGTTTAATTAAATTCCTCACCTCTGCTTCCTGAGTCAGCAGAAATCCTTTCTTAAATTTGAGCACTAGTGTAAACGTACTGACCAGCACAAAGTGAAACTGTTGGAAAAGCTTCTTTGGGACCAGGCATGTGCTGGCAGAGTGATGAAGGAGCATGATCAAAAAGAAGGCTCTCTGCTGTCTAGATGAAGTGATTCAGTGAAGTTTTTTATATGCTATTCTTTAATGTTACCATCTCAGTCCATTGTGAGTGGTGGAGTACAAAAAAGGATTAAAAGATGATGGTCTAGGAACACTGAGGAGTCTTGGCTGAGGATACAAACACCCACTTCCCCTGAGCAAGAATGGTCAACGGGTACTCAGCAGGAGGGCACTCAGGATGCATGAAAATATCACAGTCCTTAACAGACTTCTACGTACAAGCTACTGCTACATTGATGCCTGTGGTGAGGGATTTAAAGCCAAAATTTGTCTTTCATGGTAACCATTCAAATACAAAAGCACCGGAAAAGACTCACAACTGATAGTTAACACCGTGCATGATTTAAGGGGAATTTGATATACCTAATTCCTTAATGGAGGATAATTATCTTTTTTCATATATCACATATCTTAGAGATGCCTCTTGTTTTTGAAAGCCAAGCAAACAGAAGATTGATCTGTCTGCAGCCATGGGCAGTGATTTATGAGGAGGAACTTGCAAGGTCTTTGGAGGTGTTTGACCTGTGAAGACATATGAGAGTTTTGCTCAGTCGTTTGTACAATCTCCCTCCTTATAGCATATTTTTTCAGGTCTGAAAATTTTGTCATAACTATTGTGATGTCAAAGTTATTTTTGTACAGCTTTTCTTGTAGGCATTTAGAAGAGTGAAGGGTTTAGTATTCCTCTTCCACTGACCACAATCAAAATGTTCCTGGGCTGCTTTAGGTCATACTGACAGGGCAGAGGGGAGACTATGATTAATGATTCCACTCAATTGCCCACACTTGGGTGTCTGCTGCTGTCCTAGATGCCTGCATTTTCCAAAATATCCTAATGGGTTGACAGACATGACACAGGGCCTGCAGGAAACCCATCCTTTTCTTGACTGGCTGCTGGAAATCAAGTGTGATATCCTATGGCCTCTGCATTTGTTCCCTATCGATGAGTAACTGAATCACGCACATGTTTTCTGAAGAGAAAGTTTTCATGAGACTTAAAGCACTGAGTCTTACAGTTAGAAAATAGTAATCCTAACAGTAAATGAAACCATTATATATATATACATATATGTATATATATTTAATTGTTCATGGTTTTTCTTTTGCTTTTTTTTTTTTTGTTTAAATCAGTGCACTGAGTGTATAAGCACAGCCATAAGTTTCTAGCTATATTGAGCAAACCTGAATGGTGGGAAAGAAATGTATGGTTTTGCAGTATGGTGGAAATAAGCTGAAGGAAGCCTTACTGGCAGAGGCAAGTTTTGATCCGTTCACCTATTCTGTACTTCATATCTAATGGAAAGATGCATCATTTCAGTTATCCCTTTTTCCTTTAACACGCTGATTTTTGGCACAAGTGAACAGCACACAGTAAAAAGATTAACAGTTTATATCTGCCTAATAAATCTACAGGTAAAATGCTGGCAAAATAACTCACTGACGTGGTAAAAACAAGCAAGAGATACTGTAAACTCAAATGAAATTCCGTAAACCAACATGTACAGTTTTTCTCTGAAATACAAAAATGCTTTCTGCCTTTTTCACAGGGAGATTGAAGGTTAAAAAAAGAGGACTACTTGAAGATAACTGCATGTTACAACTTTACTGATTGACTGTATTTTGCTTTTGAAAAGAGGAAACTGTTAGATATGTGGCTTATCTTCAACTAGTTCATGGATGGCCTTGTCATTTTTAAGTTTGTTTAGTAAAGACAGGGAGTTTAGAGTTGTCAAAAGCATGTACAAATTACTTGCTCAAAGGATCTTTATTCTCTAAGTAGATAAATAACTGAGAGTATTTTCTCATCAGGTAATCTAGACAAAAAATGCTAACTATGAAGAAACAGAAATGTACATGTATTTCTATCTAAAGACTTATTTTTTGGAAGTTCTTAAATATGTACAAATGAACAAAGTTAATCTTCAAAAAGCAGGCACAAGCGACAGCCTAAGATGAAGTCATATTGGGCACCTGAAATAATACACTGATGTGGGGATTATATCATACAAATGAGAGATTTATATGAATTTGTAGATTTTGGATGTCAGTGTATGCTGGCAGGGATGTTTTGCAGTAAAAAACAATGGTTTTCTTTTCCTGCTTTCTTATGTACTTGGGTAACCCTTGGGCTATGGTAACCTTGTAATGTCATGAAGGAATTATTGCAATCTAAATCATGTGTTTGACCAAGCTGCATCATTCCAGTCAGATGACGCAAAGTTGCTGTGAATGTGTCTTAACAAATCACTTAATACGTGTTTAAATCTGTCTTATATGGCAAAAATGACAGAATTTGAAAGTATGATTAAATAAGCAAAATAACTGCAAAGTATGATTGAATTAGGCCTCAGATTACTGTAGTCTGCTATTATGTGGTATTGTATTATACCATATTATACACAAATTTGGTCTTACCCAAGTAGCTCTGTGCTAGTAAGAATCATTCATAAATTATTCTTCTTACATGAGTCTCTTCTTTATTTTCATCCTTGTCAAGCCCTCTACTAACTGTGGTCAGTAAGGATCAAAGACACAGGTGTACTGAAGTTCCTAGGAATACCCATGTACACTTAATGAAGCTCAGAGTCTAATTCCGAACATTAACCAAAAGCCGCAGCTGTTTGGCATACGCACACCAGTTGCTTTTAAAAATCCCAGCAGACACTTGTCTGCATGTTTCTGACACCTGGATTTGCAAGGACATATGACTCCTGCTATTTTTTTGAAGTGGGGACTTCAGTAATTTGACGGAGTTAATGATTTGTTCTTTTTTTCCATAGTATCTTAGATAATATCTGCTACTTTGAAATTCACGGCCAATTAACTTCTTGATTGACCACTGTTATCTTTTGAGCATAAGCTTCTACAGCATACACTGTCCCCATTTACAATTTTGATTTGGCGTATATCTTGCCTTCAACTTCTGTTTCACCTTTTTAAGCCTGTTATTTATATTCCTATATGCAGATTCTCATAGTGAACAGGAATCTCATGAATAAGTATTTCAGCAGTGTCTGTTGCTTTAAAAGAAAATAAAAGCACTTCTTTCATGGTTTTGTTTGTTTTTTAAGTAAAGAAGAATGCAGTATTAATGAAAGAAATAATCACAGAACACTTCTATTTTCAATGCTGAATCATGGGAAAAAAAAGAATCAGAGCAGATACACCACGGATCTTCCACATCAGTTGTAGGACCAGTGAATTTTTCAGGTGCAGATTTGAAGTTTCATTAAACAATGCTACTTTACAGCATTATGTGCCACCTGCCTCCATGTGGCACAGAATTTATTCATGCACTTTTTGTGCTCTTCGGTGAAGCTCTGAGAAGAGTAGTGAAGCATTACTTGCTTCAATATATTGTTGTTGCAGTAGCATGTAAGGGAGAAGAAACATGATCAGTTGAGGTAGACAGCTATGAAATAAAGTGTATACTAGTGTATGATATTTGTTTGCAGTGGTACATTGTGAAAATTGCACCTCTAGGGTGCATATTAAGAGGTATACACATCAACCCATGTTTCACATCTACAGTCTATAATCTACAGCTGCAATATTTTAATTTCTTGTGTACTGTGCATGTTACAATCAGCCTTTAATGTAAACCATTCATATGTATTCAAAGTGGTTATCATGGAAAATAAATGTTCTCAGTAGCTGCTCAGTCATACCATTTATCAGTACTTAACAATCTGTCATTATCAGCGATATTTAAAATATCTTGCTTTGTTAAAATAGTTTTCATTAAATAGCTGCATGAACAACAAGAATTCTAATAGTTAAAAATACATCCTAAGTAAAATAAATACAAAATTGAAAAAATGACTTGTATCCCCAGAAAGCTTTGTTCAGCCATGTTTTGCATGTGACACACCAAATGCAAACATCTTTCTTGATTTTCAGCTTATACATATTAATGGCAGTGCAAGCTGTGACATTTCCCAATTACTGAAAATTGTCTTTTTTAACATTATCATGTTTTGTTAAAATCTGACTAATATTAGGTTTTGGTTACAGGAAGTTTGCACCGTGCATCCAGTGTTCCAGAGCGTGTCTATAACATGGGGATTACTGAAAATGATTTTGCACCAAGAACTCCTTATGGTTTCTCTTATTATCAGTCAAACCAGGTGAGGAAAACAAGGCAATGAATAGAAATAAATATAATAGCACGTACATAGTGGGGTTTGTTACCACAAATAATAGCATGTAGATGATGTTTCAAGGTTTTCTTGCTTGTTTGTTAGCTTTTTAAAGCCTGAAAATGAGGTTTTTACAACTGATATCTATTAATGTTTTCCCCCTTTCCAGTGATTTCTGAGCCCAGTGATTTAACTTAACTCAGTCTTACAGATGGGATTGTTGCAGTCCTGTTGGTTTTGTGAGAATTGGCACTGGGGAAGAAAACGAAAAACCATGCTAATGCCCCACTAAGGCAAAGGCTATGACAAGTCATATCTTTATCCATCCCACCAAGCAGCAGGTCAGTCAGCACTTTGGTGGCTTGAAGCTGGTGAGGCTGCTGTTGGAGGCCAAACAGTCGGAGGTTGCTAAAGGAAGTCCAGCAATCCTGCAGGGTAACTAATTACATGGGCAGGAGCTTGGAATGTGGTGAACGAGCTTAGGGAATTAAACATCCAAAACCATGGGAAAACAGAGTGCTTTATTTTCATGAGGACAGGTAGAGTGTTCCTTATCATTTAAAATAATCCTGTTGTAAAATATTTTATCATTACAAGAACTTCAGCGGTACAGTCCTTGCAATACAATGGTGTTTCTAAACAGTCTAATCATAAATGCACTTGTTATTTTGACCAGCTTTTCTTGGGTTCATTGCCTGAATGCTAAGATAAATAATTGGCTTCCTGCAGGGTTTGTGACACAGCTTATAACTGGTATGAACCTTTTTAGGGAGCAACTGTATGGCTTGGAAATCAGCACATAGTTCAGTAGCTACGCTGCTGCATGATCATTAGTAAACTGAAAGCAATTCAGCTTGAGAACATAAATATTTATTTAGTAAAAAAACTTTATTACAGGGGAAATTCTTTCTTGATTTCAGATTACTCAAGAATGGTTTATTGGCATTAAAGCTTCTGGCCAGTTTATGAAGCATCTCCCTATGGGAAGAGTTAGAGCCATTTCCTTCAGTATATTTCCTTCTGTGTCCTTCTAGCCTCTGTTCTCACCAGTCTGTAATATTTGACATGAAATCCTTTTTTTGTTAGAAGAGAGAAATGAGGGAAACTAGATGAGACATAGGAACCACAAGAAAACACTAGTTTTAAGGGGGGGGGGGGGGGAGGGAGGGAACAGGGGGGAGAAATGTGAGAAAGAGGAAGACTATTTGTCCTGTGTGAAAGCCAGGATATGCAAAATATCCTTGCATATCTTTTGTAGAGCAAACAGGTATATCCAATGATGCTTGCCTCAGCCTTCTAGTTTCAGCAACCTTTATTCATTTTGTGAGTTGAATATCACCCTCAGTAACTCCTCAACAGTTAAACTGAAAGATTTCAGCCTGACAGCTATCTGTTAAGCATGACTCTTCAATTAATAACTCGTGTAAGCTTCTCAGTTTACTTTAAAAATTGCCTTTAGAATTACAAAACTTTAATACAACATGGGAATGGAAAACAGGGGGCTTTGATTTATCGCTGGATGCCACTGTGCTTACCGATTTAAACAAAAAATGGGCCATGATGATTTTTTTTTAATAGCAGATGTGGGTGTTAATGCCCAAGGAGTTTCAAATTCAAACTAAAATATTAATAAGTAGACTGTTCACTACTAGGCATAATTGACTTAAACACCTACAATGACAGAAGCTTAGATGCTTAGACTTTGTATGCTAATGTTTAGACTGTACTATTTCCTGCTTTCATTAGGCAGATACAAAGAAGTGTTGCATAATCCCAGTACACAATTTTGGTGAAGTCCACTTTTTGTTTTCTAGTACTGACAGCAGAGCTCAGAATTTTCATGTTTACTTTTTTGGTTTGGTTTCTTTGCTATTAATCCTAATTCTGTGATCTTACTGTGACTCCTGTTGTGTTCTTTTATGCACCTTTGAACAGGTTGCCTCACCATCCTCTTACACAAATGGTTGTGGGACAAGTTTTACTTACAAGACAGTGGAAGAGAGAGCTCAAAGGCAGCCGCTGAAGAGGCTAGAGGTTTCACCACAGCAAAGTCCTGAAAGACTGGCATATGTGTCCAATGATTATCACTACGATGGAGGAATTTCAACTGGATTCTCCATGAGGCATGGAGATAACAGGAGACCCAACGGAACTGTTCCACCAAGATATGCTCGGTCTGAGATTGTTGGTTACACTCTTCGTGATTCAGTGAGCAGGGGACGCTCTTTTAAGAGACATTCCCACATGGGGGCTGTTAGTGATGCAGTCCTTGATGGTGTTTACCCCAGCCCCACTGTACCTCTGTACCATCAAGCAGGCAACAGTCGCAGTATGTCCAACCTTTTGGAGAAAGAGAACTACCTGACCTCAGGCAGTGCAATGGGACAAGTGAGATCACCAGTTGCTTCGCGTTTTGGATCTCAGAATAGGCAATCTTTAAGGTCCAACTGGTACCAAACTACTTTCAGAAGCACACAGACCAGGAGGGAAGCTTCCCAGCCAGCTTCAATAGCCAGCGTTGCTGCAGAAACAGATGGGAAGAGGATGCCATTGACAGCTGCTGTGGCAGCAGCTGGGAGAAATGGTTTCCTGCAGAGTGAACAAGTCACCATCAATGGCTCTCAGCTGGGGTAAGCACAATGCAGTATCTGCTTTGGTTTTGGGGTGTCACAGCCGAAAGGAATGTATTTGTTTAAAAAGAGAAAGTAAACTGACAGTTTGTGGTTCAGCAGCCAAAAACGGTGTATGAAATGTTGATGCAGAAAGATTTGCTTTTAAAAATCAACTTCCAGTGCAACAGGGGAAAGGGAGGAAAAAATATTAGCATACACTGCAGGGTCCATGCCTCCTACTCTGGTTTGCTGGAGTTTACCTTTTGACAAGAGTTAAACAATTTTACAAGGAGACACGAAGTATTCACTGAGTAATTTACAGCCTAAATCACAATTGCACTAATGTATTGGCACTAGTTCTCACAAGAATAGGTCAGAAAACCACCAGTGAAGCAGCTTTAGGCAGATTGACAATTTCCAGTTAAAAACTTCTTCATGGTTTCAAGGAAACTTTTTAGTTTTGATTAACTTCAGTTAAAACACAGGCAGAAATTTCTCTTAACTCTGTAGCACCATCATTCCCTAGAACAAGTGTAAACTGCTCTGAATACCAGGACCCCAGAGCTGCTTATTATCATGAGATTCTACATCGTCTGAGGACAATATCTGAATTTGAAGCCCAGGTAGCTCCATGGCAGAAATTCCCAAAGCTATCCCCAGATTTCAAGAAAATTGTTTAAAACTTTACAAAAATTTTTCTTCCTTTTGTTTTCTCTTTTCTTTCTTGTTTTTCTTTTTTTTTCTTCCAAAATTACCTTTTTTCCCCCTGAAATTCCCTTCCAGAGATGATTTCAGGCTGTCTACAATCAATTTCATTTTCAAAAGAGAAGATTTATCAGTGCTGAAGTTCCCCTCAGGAGTGAACTAGTTTTTTAATTTTAGAATAATTTAGAATATTCCCAGAGCTCTCCAGGTTCAATGGACAAAATAAACCACTTAGGAAGCAGTAGATGGTTACTTGAGCTGTTTACTGTGGTTTCCAGTGTTTTCATAATCCAAATAGGATCCCAGGGTTTCTCATGTAAGTAAATAATGGTGTAATTTGCAACCGTGTTATTAAGAAATCTTTCTTTTTCCATAACTGTGTAGCTGTTAAGTTCATTTTTCTGAAGGCGACCTTTCTCCTTTTGCTAACTTTGCTACCGTGTGAGATGAGGCATCATCTGATATTGCTGCTGTCAAAAGATCAGCTATTTTCTGCCATGAGCTGCATGTTTTGTGTTATGACTAGATTTATAAACATATAGTCTTTTGGCCACATCTCATCTGAATTGAAACATTAACCTCAGGGTCATAGAGGAGTTAAGATACCTGATATTTGTGATGTGACTCTTAAGTTTTCAGTCTTCACAGCAAATGAGTCCAGAAAAAAATAGCTGAGAGCTCACAACAGCAGAAGATTTGGAAGTAGTACTGTTGAAAAAAGGACTTTGTTTCTCAGTAAGACAATTTACAGACAGGCATATATCCCATTGACTGAATAATCTACTTCAACCACATTCCTGAGTGCATTTCAGAGCCACAACCAGCAATTTTGATATGTAATTCTGCGTAGGAGCAATTTTGGTTCTTTTGCAGGTGCAGACACTGGAGTCTGGATGCCTGCATGCACAAACATCAACCAAAGTGTTTTTCCTGCCTGCAAATGTAAACATCTATCTTCAGCCATTGTGCAAGTGACTTGCTTGAGACCATGCTGAGCTCAGGTGGAAGATTTGTGACCTAATGGAAATTTTTAACAACATAATAACTTAAGTGCTGGTTTTTAAGTTCAGCTTTTGCTGGAAATTACAGAGGAAAACGATTTGAAGTGCTGTGAAAGCCTCTAAAGTTCGTATTGCAGATGTTTACAGATTTCTTTTATCCCAGTTCTTCTGCTTAATTTACTTGTACATAATTTGTTTAGATTTTCAAATGCCCTAGGTTCTACTTTAGTTTCATAGCTAGGTTTTGAGGGAAGCAAGGACTCTTTGTTCTACCTGAAGTTTAAATAAATTCTTTGTAAAATATAATAGCTTATGGTAGTGAAGAGGCTGGTAAAAAAACTCATGTAAGATACAATTCTAAAGGAGAATTGCACCACTAGATTATTAAATGATGAGGAAGAAACTGTAGCCATTTTAGTTGACTGAAAACAGTAGCTGTTTCACATGCTTATGTAATAACGTGTATGGTACCCACATACATCATTACTGTTTTCAAACATCTGAAATACACATTTAATTCGTCATTCTCACCACTGGAAGGGCTGAATGCAGAAGTCCTGTTTTGGGTGTAGTACGTTCTGATTCATCCACATCTAGCTACTGCACAGTTTAATATATAATTATTTAAAACATAAGAGACATCATTTTACTTTGTGGCATACACTGCTGTCAAATCAGAAGTATTTCACTGAAGTCCCTCATTTCAGCACTAGTACAATAATCTCTTCTGACAAGACTTCTCAGTTTAAGAAGTTAGTAAAGACTTTTAAGTTTCTTGTTATTTCCCATTCTCTTTGATTTTAAGGTTGCATTATCTGAGGTATTGCTCACTTACCTGTTGCTCCCTTAATAATGGAAAGAGGGGAAAAGATAAGCCTTGGTTTCCTGAATAAGTTGATTTTTCCAGAAAGTTGTCCTTTTTCATGCAGATCACAATTTAGGTGTCTCCAAGGCTAGTTAAGAAGATGTAGAATAGTTGTTTAAGGTAAAAGAGAAGCAGTGGACTACCTGTGTATAGTATTTGGAATATATATAAAAGCATTTTCAAACTTTCTGTAGAAAAATTAGCTCGTGCTATCTAATCAAAGTAGAACAGTCAGAATATAGAGATGCTATCTCAGTATCTTCTGGTAAAGTGAAGCAGTTAAAAGCATTCTCATACCAAGGGCTTAGGAAAGAGAGATTCAACCTGAAGCTGTCTGGAAAAAAAAAGTGCTTACAGAACCTGACCTTTAAAAGTGCTGTCGCACAATTATTAGACAAAACAATGTTTATATCCCAAATATGTTATAGTCTGGCAATTAAGGTGAAGTCAGAACTTGTCAGGTCATTGTTCTGTTTAACCACCATTGCCTAAATGCCCATCTGTTTGTTATCGCTACGCATGCTAATCACCTATGTAGCTATTAAGATTGCCTGCAAATGTTTTGAGGGTAGGATGGAACAATTGCATCAGATTCTATTTTGACAGGAGTTACAGTGCTGCAACCACACCACTGAAGATCAAGGATTATATTATATCCTTTATTACTGTAAGATAAAACACTAAATGTTGTTTTTATCTGACAAAAAGCAATCATAGTATGACAGTGCAGAACATTAAAGAGAGATTTTGACTTCTGCACATGAAGAAGCAGCAGCCATGAACAGCTAACTAACTCTGGTGAATGGTCTCAATACACAGTCAGAAATTTGGGCTTTGGCTCTACATGTGCTAGTGACTGCTGATGGACCTTTACTGCTCAGGGACATCTTTGGCATCCTGAGGCTGAGTTCCCACATAGATTCTCCAGTGTCCCACGAGGGATCAGCTTATACAGCAATCTTGATCTCGGGAAGTGCATGGGGAGAGTCCTTCTTTGCTGTTAGTCACTGAAATGATTAAAAAATTAATACATTGGGAATACCTGCCACTCTGTAGAAGGCAACTGAATTTGGTCAAAGGGCTCCAAATTTATTTCAGTGACTAACAGGCAGGTAGGCGTGCACACATGTGCACATATATAACATGGTCATAAAACCCTTGTTGATTTGACAAACATGACCCGATCTTGAAAAGCCTGTTTTTCTCTCCCATTTTAAAGAGAGTAAAAAGAAGAAACATGATCTGGCTTTTTTCCATCACTCATTGTTCAAGATCTTTAAATAAGTTTTTGATCAGTACATCCGACTTGCAACTCAGAGTGACTTAGTAACTGCTTGTTTTAAACCTGGGCTGAAGTAAACTCTGAAAATCTGGAAGCTGTAAGCATTGCCATACCAAAGCCCAGGAGACTAGAGATACTAACCATCACTCTGTCTGATTTCACTTTTATTTAAACACTCCATTGAGTTCCTCAACCCACTCCCTCCTCATTTCATCTTTATCTTGTACAAGCATGCCTCAACACCTATAGATGTAGTGTATTTGCTCAAAACACTAACTCAGAGGAGGGAGAAGACAAGAAATAACATGATTTATACCAGAGGGAAATACAAAAGCAGGTAGAAACCTCAGGAGTATAATTTCATTTGAAACAGGTGCATCAGAATTGTTCTTCACCTCTTTGCTGTCCTTGCAGTCATACTGTCTGTCTTTTGTCTTAGCAAAAGCAAGCAGCAGATGTTGATTTACAGTGTAGCTGGCAGGAAAAAATAAAAAAAAAATATCCGTTTTTCTTCTCAGTATCAAACCATGTTTCTAAACATTTATTATTTAATCTTTTTGCTTAATTAAAAGAAGGTAAAAAAAACCTAAAAAAAAAAATCAGTTTAAACCATTTTATTTCCCATGCACCTATTTTAACATGAAAGGTAATTGTGCTAAAATTTCTCATTTTAGATGTGCTTACTGAGAGGATTGTCAAGTGAACCAGTCTCATTCTGGTAGCTCTGAAATAAGGAGTAATTGCCAATAACTACTTGTTACAATGCTGTTCACAGTCTGCCTCCTCATCCCTGTTGCAACAAAATTTTTTGGTTAAAAAAAAAAAATAGAATACTCATGGGTTTGGTCACTTCCCCTCCCCCTATTTTTTTTTTTTTTTGTTGTTGTTGTTGTCTAGATGGAGAGTGTTTAAAACCAAAAGTAAATAAAAAGGCTGGGGAGCTTAACGACCTGTTCCAGAGCTAATGCACCTGATTGTGCCATGAATTATGTTCCATTTATTGGGAAAAAATGGGTCTGCTGACCTTTCTCCCCAATTTTTTATATGGCTGTCTAATACAATCATCATTCTAACAAACATGCTGGAATTTTGAAGGGAAATAGCCATATGTATTTTCAATCCTATCACAGGCAATGTGCATACTTGATTTAAAGAGTGGTTTTTTATTTTGTCCCACCTGAAAAAATGGTTTTGCCCATCTGTTTCAAACCACAGCAACTTGTTAAGCTTGAAAAAAGCAGGTACTGAGCCCTGCATGTATGTAGTCTGGGAACTGAGAAACTGAACATAGGCATATAAACAAATATAAAAAAGCAGTAATCACACTACTGAGTAAACCAGGTATCTTCATGATGGGTAAAAGGCACTCTAATTTGTTATGGCCTTTGCTGGATCTTAATCCTTCATCCTCTGAAGTTTCCATTTTGGTTTTATAATTTGAAGCATGACTTGCTTTGTGCAGAACTTCTCATGGTTGCAACATTACCATTTAGGACTTTCTTTTCACCCACAATATTAGTATCTCTTAAAGCTTTTATAGTATTTTCTGCTACTGAAAGGGGAAAAAAATTCTAAGAAAAGATAAAGAAAGATAAAGAATCATGGAATGATAGAATAGTTAGGGTTGGAAAGGACCTTAAGATCATCTAGTTCCAACCCCCCTGCCATGGGCAGGGACACCTCACACTAAACCATGTCACCCAAGGATTTGTCCAACCTGGACTTGAACACTGCCAGGGATACAGCATTCACAACCTCCCTGAGCAAACCATTCCAGTGCCTGTCCACCCTAATAGTAAAGAATTTCTTCCTTATATCCAATCTAAACTTCCCCTGTTTAAGTTTTAACCTATTACCCCTTGTCCTATCACTACAGTCCCTAATGAAGAGTCCATCCCCAGGATGTCTATAGCCCCCCTTCAGATACTGGAAGGCTGCTATGAGGTCTCCATGCAGCCTTCTCTTCTCCAGGCTGAACAGCCCCAACTTTCTCAGTCTACCTTCATACAGGAGGTGCTCCAGTCCCCTGATCATCCTCGTGGCCCTCCTCTGGACTTGTTCCAACAGTTCCATGTCCTTTTGTGTTGAGGACACGAGAACTGCACACAATACTCCAAGTGAGGTCTCACGAGAGCAGAGTAGAGGGGCAGGATCACCTCCTTCAACCTGCTGGTCACACTCCTTTTGATGCAGCCCAGGATACGGTTGGCTTTCTGGGCTGCAAGTGTACACTGAAGCCAGCTCATGTTCATTTTCTCATCAACCAACACCCCCAAGTCCTTCTCTGCAGGGCTGCTCTGAATCTCTTCTCTGCCCAACCTGTAGCTGTGCCTGGGATTGCTCTGACCCAGGTGTAGGACCTTGCACTTGGCATGGTTAAACTTCATGAGGTTGGCATCAGCCCACCTCACAAGCGTGTCAAGGTCCCTCTGGATGGCATTCCTTGCCTCCAGCGTATCAACTGAACCACACAGCTTGGTGTCATCGGCAAACTTGCAGAGGGTGCACTCAATCCCACTGTCCATGTCAGCGACGAAGATGTTAAACAAGACCAGTCCCAACAGCGATCCCTGAGGGACACCACTTGTTACTGGTCTCCAGCGGGACATCGAGCCATTGACTACAACTCTTTGTGTGTGGACATCCAGCCAGTTCTTTAATCACTGAGTGGTCCACCTATCAAATTGATGTCTCTCCAATTTAGAGACAAGGATGTCATGTGAGACAGTGTCGAACGTTTTGCACAAGTCCAGGTAGCCCCATCATAGAAGGCCACCAAATTGGTCAGGCAGGATTTCCCCTTAGTGAAGCCATGTTGGTTGTCACCAAGCACCTTGTTGTTTTTCATGTGCCTTAGCATGCCTTCCAGGAGAATCTGCTCCAAGATTTTGCCAGGCACAGAGGTGAGACTGACTGGTCTGTAGTTCCCTGGGTCATCCATTTTCCCCTTCTTAAAAATGGGGGTTATATTTCCGTTTTTCCAGTTGTCGGGAACTTCACCTGTCTGCCATGATTTTTCAAATATGATGGCCAGTGGCTTAGCAACTTCATTTGCCAGCTCCTTCAGGACCTGTGGATGGATTTCATCAGGACCCATGGACTTGTGTATGTTTAGGTTCTTAAGATGGTCTCGAACTAGTTCCTCTCCTACAGTGGGCCCAAGGTCTTCATTCTCACAGTCCCTGCATCTGCCTTCCAAGACTTGGGTGGTGTGGGCAGAGCCTTTGCCAGTGAAGACCGAGGCAAAGAAGTCATTCAGAACCTCAGCCTTCTCCAAATCCAGGGTAGCCAGTTCTCCTGATAGCTTCCAGAGGCAGCCTACGTTGTCCCTTGTCTGTCTTTTATTCGCTATGTACCTGTAGAATTCCGTCTCGTTATCCTTAACATCCCTAGCCAAGTTTAATTCTAAAGTTACTTGAAACTTTTGAAAATCCTGGCATTACAAGAAATTTCACAGGTTAAATGGTGATTTTTCTGCAGTCTTGCTTCACTATATATCCTCTGTCTATGCTTTCAAGGAGCCCAGAAGGGGAGATGACTCTGGAGCGTGCAGTGAGCATACTGAAGAGTGAAAATACACAGTCCACACCTAGGATTCTTGCTGCAGTTACTTTCATACAGCATGAATGCTTCCAGAAAGCAGATGCCAGAAGGAAAGTAAGTAATTATTTTTATGCTGGTTGCAGTCAGGTAGAGCAAATAACTTTCTATACTGTGTGGCCACTGTGTGCCAACATGAAAAAGGACAGTCTAAGAAACCTTGTAAGATAATGATGAATACTTTCCCTAAAATATGATGATGCTTTTTGCTGCAGATTCTTTAAAATTTGTGGAATGGCACTGGTTTATACTAGCAAAAATTTGGTCTTCAGCATTTTGTGATTGAAGTGTAGGGTAAGGATTCACCCAAACTATATGTAACTACAGATCTTTATTTACCAGCTCTCAGAAAATAAAACTCTGGGAGTACAGTGCAAACTTACCCAAGGTTCAGGGTTTACTGGGACTGCACGACTGTATTAATACATTGTTTGGATTAACCAAATTTGTTAAGTCTTTGAATTTGTTAAGTGTTTGTTAAGTTTTTTAAGGGGTATATTAAAATTATTATCTTCTTCATTTTTTTAAACATAATTTCAAACACTGTTATGGTTCTCTTGCTGAACAGTTCTGTACGTTAATTTGTAAGGTGGTTGTTTATTTCAACCAGTTCGGTGCAGTCCAGTTCAGTGACAGCCAGACATCACTGTCCTTTTCGCTTGCTTCGTGGTAGATCAAAGTCTGTTTTGTAAAAAACACCAATACAATTATCAGTCAACCTGATCTGAGGACAGAGCTTCAGAATCAAATGTTTGAAGGTGCTTATTTATTTAAGGTGCCTTATTATTCAAACTTCTTCCAGGCAGCTTCCTAGAAAAACAAGTGGATAAGTAAGAGTTCAAATTGTTTTCCTGTCTATCCCACATATCCTAGCTGAGTTTTTCTGTTTGATGCCCAGCAAACTTGTTCACATTGGCATAGTCTTTTTTCTCCTTTTTAGCCTTTCATCCTGCGTTTCTTTTCTTTGTCTCCTGATGTGTTGTTCACAATACTTGATAGTCCTTGGGTCTAGTGGCTTTTCTTTTTCTGTGAACTTGTGGTCTTACAGTATTTTAGTCAATTTTGTCTACCAATGAAAATTTAGAATGATGGTTCAATAGCTTTTGTAAGTTCTCCTCTGCACATTAGGTCAAAATAGCACCACTTCTTTTACAAGAGCTATAAATCCCTTAAAATTACCAATAGAAAGGCTGCATAAATGTTTAAAAAAACCAACCATCTATGGTATTGGTGTCAAAAGGGCTTATCTACTGTAATAAAATAGGTCGATGTGCCTTCAGCATGCTCTATGCTCCGCTTACCTCAAGAGACATATTTCTGTATTTCATTCTGCTAACATCTAGATGATAGCTGAATGAATGCAGGGGAAATCAGGTCAGCAGTACAGCAGCAAAAAACTGTGCCTTTTGTACAAGTGTATCAGAGCAAAGGTAGGCAGTGTGGCTTGCCAGGGCATGAAGGGCAAAAGGCTTTGTTCCATTTCATTTCTTCATGTTGCCAGCACCTGTCAGCTGTATTGAATTCTTTTTATCATTAAACTCTGGACTATTCAAAACAGTCGTATCAGACTCCTAAGTCTTTCACATGCTGTTGTTTCTACACAGGGATGATTTTGTCCACAAAAGCATATGGCATTCTGAGATGCTGGGAGAAACCGTCATCATTTGTACATGAATGTAATGTATTTTCCATAGTAAACTCAGTCCTAAATGAGCCAAGGCTTGCTTATGCCACATCACAGCTCATATGGATTCATCATTTGCCACAACATGTAGAACTTGGAAACTATTTGTTTCCGCACAGCTGCTGAAAATAACACCTTCTTAATTCTTTATGCATTTGGGGCCAAAACCTCATTTTCTAAAGAATTAGTCACTGAAAAGTAGTGTTTGTTAAATGTAGGTGGCTCAGTAGCTGACTAGTTTAGAATATTTAATGGTCTGTGTTTTTAAGTTTACTAGTTTATTAGTTTTTTCTCAATATGATACAGATAAGAAGCATTATGTACAATTGTTATTTATTTAATACACTTTTGATAAATGCACTGAAGTTTACAGGATTAAAATGCTGTCTTTCCATCAGGCTAGCTGCTGAGAGAAAAAGAACTCAAACCAAACTTGGCACATCAGGAACATTTCACATCCAGAAATCTTAAAGCACTTTATAAATGTTCCAGAGTTAAATCTCAAATATCCATTTCACCAACATGGAAGTTAAAATACAGAGCAATTAAATGCCTTGTCAGAGAGTACAAATCTTTAGCAAAGCTGGAAGAGATTTAGTTTCATTCTCTTACATTAACTATAAAAATATGATGCCTCCCTTAGTTGTGGATTTTAACTATGACTCATATGAAGGCCCAGAAGTTCAGTCATGTCCAAATGATTAACGATCTGTGCTTCTAGTCTTCCAAACAGGAGCAAATGAAGAAAAGTCCCTATGACTATTTAAAGGTTTGCTGGGAGGAAGGTGGAGTTTGTAATTTACAGTATCTAACTATTCCCTTCTGTATTTTGTTTTCCTCACAGGTTTTCTCACTTGGTGGTATCCCCAAGCTTTTACAGCTTCTTGATGTTCAGAATGAGGACGTTCAGCGGGCAGCATGTGGTGCATTGAGAAACTTGGTGTTTGAGGACAATGACAACAAACTGGAAGTGTCAGAGCAGAAAGGGATCCCACTCTTGCTGCGCCTACTCCGAAACACCAGGGATGTAGAGACTAAAAAGCAAATAACAGGTAATGTTTTCTGTGCAGTCAAGTGACCAAATACAAGAACATTGTCACCTATTCTAAGCTTTTCTCTTAGGGTGAAATTTCAAGGACGAGTCTTTAAGACAGTAAGAAGAGACTAGGAACTGCAACTTCCCCTCTTAAAGCTTCTTCAGAAATGACGTCAGTCTGTCTCTTTGCAAGAAGCTCAAAGTCCTAGATATCCCATAAAAGAAAGTGAGGCCCAAATAGCAAATTCTGTAAAACCTTTTTAGTGAGCAGTGATTGGAGCAGTCCCAATAATGGGACCATAATTAATGCCGCTTCTCAGGCAGCAGCTCAGTCCTCACTTTTTAACACTATGCTGCCAGTGCATACTGGGGGCTCCTTGACAAAGACACTCCCCCAGAACTGTCAGGTGCTGTGGATAGAATGTGGTTGCCCAACTCCCCACAAACTCTACTGACTCAAATTTTTACTCTGAGCTCCTTCCTGCCTAGCTATTTACACCTGAGCCTGTCTTCTCAGTTTAGTGGTAAGCAGAAAGCTTTGCATGCTTTCTTTCTGCATGCAGGGGAGAGGATTTCTGCAGGACATCCACTTGGCTGTAAAGATCAAAATAGCACCATCAGTGGACCGACATGCATTCTGGATTCAGTTTTTGCAGGGCTAACATTCTCATCCTTCTATTTCCCATGCACTAACAGGGGAAGAACTGTTAAAAATCAGTAGAGCCCATTGCAATTTAAAAGGAGCCCTTTGGATCAGAAATACCATATTGCACCTCTTGTTTACATCAATGTAGCAGAAGGAATGGTGAGAGGAAATATCCACCCCTATTGACAAAGTGATGTGTGACTACTGCCTGGTTAGCTTTGCAGCAGCCAGTGAAGAAATTCCCACCAATTCATCCCTGCACCCCTGCTTGACCATGATGTGTCTCTAGGAATTCAGCTGCTTGTGACCCACATTCATTCTAATTAGCATGCAGAGGAAGAGCAGACATAAATGGAAGAAAACACTGTGAATAAATTAATGGGGATTTATTTCAAGTGATCTTTAAAGATACCAGAAACATGAGCTATTAAGATAACTGTGTTTGAAAAGATACAGAAGGTGTCAAGCAGCCTTGCCTTGAAGCAAAGGCATGTTGAGACCTTCTGTAATTCTGCATTCTTTCAAGTATTTGAAATACTGTGCTCCCTAAGCTGGAGAACAAAGCTTTGTATTGTTGGCTAGTTTGGATCAGTTGAACTGCTTTGCAACATTAAAATGTTTTAAAGCTTTTCAGATTCATCAGATGCAAAATTGGGTCACTTAGTAACTTATTCAATAGTGTGTTGTCTCTGTGCTGTTACACACCAGTGAGGGAGGTAGTGAAATTGGTGGTACAGGGGCCAGAAAGCTAATGCTGTTGTCTTGATAGCAATTTCATTATTTCTGACAAAAGCTTTGACTGTTTGTCAGAATAACTCATATGGATACTGTGAATATTACTGTCTTCCCCTTCACCAGTGTGAAAAAGGATGAAGGACCTCCTTCTTTCTACAATTACTTCTGTCATTGAACATGCAGATTTACTTATGAAACAGGCAAGACAAAATATTTAAGCAATATCGAGCAGAATGTTGCACTTTACACAGAGCAAAATATTTTTATATACTTTCATGCTTATCAGTTGCAAAGGAGGGCCTTAAAATTACACCAAGGGAAAAGTATTTCTTGCTTTGTTCAAGACCAAATGTGCAGTGAGGAGGAAGAACACTTGATGGTGAGTCAGGAGGGTCGCATGGTGAATATGGCACCAGGACATACTTTTGTTGACACTTGAGGAAATCTTCCAGCTCCCTAGCAAGTTGCAGGTAACCTAGAGGGCAAAGGGCAGCCTGAATGAATACATTTCAAGAGAATATTAACTTTCCTTCCAGCCTCATTCTTTCCCAGGCCACTTGCCAACCTTCAAAGGCAGGCAAGGAGTGAGCTGCAGACAGGAGGCAGACGGTCACTGTTCAGCATATCGTTACTAAGTTCAGTGCTTCCAGATGATCTTGGCGTATACAGTGATATCTAGGGAACACTGGAATTGCTACACAGTCATTTGTACCAATTGACTGTGGAGCCCAAGACGGGCTGCAACACAAAGCTTTTCCAAGCACACTGCAAACCTCTTGAGTACCTTTCTATGAAAATGGATAATCCCTGCTGAGCAACAGTTTTCCTATCTGACTGATGGCTCACCTACAAGTTTTGTTTCTCCTCTTTCATTGCCTTCGGCTTCCTACGAGGACAACTGAAATACCACAGCTATGCATGCAGTCGCACTGCAGTGTTGTAACAGTTCCAAGAAAAGGTTAATGCAGAACCTTTGCACTTCCACCTGAAAAGCCCATCTGACTTTCAACATCATACTTATTGCTTGCCTGCTTTGAATGGAAATTAGAGACCTACAAATGTGTAATATGATAATTAGCTGAACATCTTCCCCCATAAGAGATTAGAATAGTCGTGATACCTGATAATACCACACTGAACTCTGGTGAAAGACTCATGGCCAAGGATTGAAAGCATGTGATGCTCCTTAAAAAGATGTCTAAGCTCAGCAGAGGGAAGTTCTTTGTACTGGAATGTAGGAAGCATGGTACCAAAGACTTCACCTGACCAAAATACACAAAGATAAGGAAGTGGTGGGGAGAAGGAAGTTAAAACTCTGAGACAGCTTTCTCATATTGTAACTTCATTACCTGTCAGAAATCTGATCTAATACTTTTTCGTGTAAGTACATCTCAGCCTTAGAAGTTTATCTTTAAGGCTTATTAGTACCAGTAGTGTTGATCCAAACACTTGCCTAATATTAAACCATATCATATCATACATTCAAAAAGAATAATTTGATGGCCTCTATTTTCTGCAAGACCTAGGATGCGGAAAACAGTCTGAGCATAGTCATACAGTGCTTTGTATCATCCTATGAAAAGACTGAAAACAATAAAAGTATATGGAGATAACAAGTGCCATGTCCTGCCTCACAGTCTGTGCACCCTAGGAGAGCACACACTAAGCACAAAACCAGTACCCCAACCAAAATGGCTTTGTGCATATGATGATGGTTTGAAAGCTGCCATGGACCAGTTTACCTAATAGTTTTGTGCAGAAATAGCTGCCCAGTTTCTCTCTGCCATTTACATGCTCATCTCACCTCTTCTTAGTGAGGATGAGATCTCAAGATCACATTGGCTGAATTCGCTAGCTTCATAAAATCATTAATAGTCAAGGAACCACAGGCTGTGCTCTTTGTTTGACATAGAAACAAACTCCTTACAAATCCCTTAGGAAAGAAATGAGTTTACTGCCAAACAGCAGGAAAGGATGTCACTTGGAGACTATGCAGGAGCCGAGACAGGAATGGCATCCTGTAGTATTTGGAGAGTATACTTAGGAATGGAAAGTAAAATGGCTGTAGCAAAAAAAAAAAAAAAAAAAAAAAATCCCAACCAAAACCAAAAAAATATTAGCTTTTGAAGATAAGCCAGGTGAGCCTCCAGGAGCACCTAACCTCTTGATCTTGTTATCGTGCAGCATAAACCTAAGAAATGAAAGAAATTTTTTCCTGCAGGGAAGATTACAGCACAAACTGACGTGTCATCAAAAGGAATATACATTTAAAAGGACACCACACCCATTTTCCCAAATAACGATCTAAGGGAAAACTACACCCCTATGAATACATTATAGCATAGCTGCAAAGAAAGAGCCCGCTCCTAAAGACATTTTCTAATGTGAACAAATTCATCCACACCCAGAATGCCACGGAGAGAATCCTTCTGAGCCTAGTGAGGCAGTGCCTGTGGGTTAAGGAACGATTTTTGGTGTGAAATTTACAGTGTGAGCAACATCTCATTTTTTCTGACAGTTCTAGATATCTGTTGATAATTCAAAAGGCACTTGTTCCTATAATGTTCTGTCCTTGTGCCCTTGCTTTTGCGCCATTCTGCCTTAACCTGCTTCTCTTAGCAGTGCCCTTTGGACTGCATGTGTGATTTCCTGTAAGCTTTATTTATCCTTCAGGAAAATACATACTTTTATCCCCTGATTCAGAGGTTGAAGAGCCAATCCCAGAAGAAGGAATGGGTAGCTTCTGGCTGGCTTTTGTTTTCATTTTACTATTGCTTACAATAGCTGAAATTAAACTCAAAGTGTAAGGAGATATAAAAGAAATATTTTTTTGTTGTGAACTGATGAAAGGAACGTTCACTAATACTCTGCCAGTGTTCAGAGGAGGATGACTGTGAAACTGAGAGCAGCAAGTTGGGGAAAACAATGAATGCCTTTGTAGTGAAAAGAATACGTGTCTTTTTCCAGGGGAAGAGTACTTTAAAAGGAATTTCCATCTGTTGGAATAGAACATAATCAGAGTTAATCAGTTGTTTTCGTGTTTGGAGATTGTGAGTAGGCAAGGTGTGTACTATTACTTAATGATTTGTTTAGTGACAAATGTCTGGACAGCAATGACCAACCACTGTTTCAAAATCTTTCCCCCCTATAAGGAATTTTGCTACCAAGTGTTAGAGAAACTTCTCATCTCCTGTCTTCCAGCAGTTTTCCAAAGACCTATAAACTCATTCTTTGTACCTCCCATCTATCCCCTTTGCATGTGAGCTTATTCTCCCTCTCATCTATCCCCTTTGCATGCGAGTTTATTCTCCCTCTCATTGGTTTTTCCTTGGTACTTAGAAGTGCAACTAGTTCTGCCAGGTGTTCAGAAAGGATGAATTCCTCCCTGGAAGTGTGGAGAATGATCACTGGTGACAGTGTTGTTAGCCCTGTTTAACTTTTGTTATTTCAGTAACAGATGATTGCTACAGATGGGCAATGAACATGCAGAGCCATGGGCAACTGCGCAGCTTGGGATGGCATTAGACTGACTATATAAAGATCTGGCTTTAATTACACAGATAATTGTGCACCTTTTTCTGTCCCATTTCATTGTCCTCAGATCAGGGCTGGTAAAGTCTTATCACCTTCTTCTGCTCTTCTTCAGGATATGAAATGCCAGGCAAGGTCCTTCAATCATTAACTTCAAGGAGTTTGAGATTAGGTCTTTCAAACTGTGGGGGAGTCTTTTTGCCACTCTGATTTTATTTTGGATATTGCAGGTTTGTTGTGGAATTTGTCCTCCAATGACCAGCTGAAGCACCTGTTGATTAGAGAAGCCCTTCAGACACTGACAGAAGCTGTTCTCATCCCTTACTCGGGCTGGCCGGATAGAGATTACCCAAAATCAAGTGTTTTACCTGACCCTGATATCTTCTACAATGCCACAGGATGCTTGAGGTAAGCACTCAGTCTACAGGTACTCAAAACAATAGTGATGATAAAACAGGCCTGCATACTTTCTTTCTTGCTTTGAACTTTGATGGCTCCAAGAGAAAAGTCTGCACAAAGATCATATTTTGAAATGCCTCGCATGTATCAGACCCAGAAGAATTACTGCTCAATGCAATGAAAACAGCTTTCCTTATAAGGCTCTGATGTGTTAATTTGATGGGTACTCCACAGACTAAAAAGACCCATAACAGACGATAGTAATCAGAGGCCTGGTTGGAGCATAGTTGCATTGAATTCAAAGAGATCCTTCACAGAATAACAGTTGTTAGTATGATGCATAGTACTAGCCCCTGAATGATAATGATAGTAGCAAAACCAAAGCTTTTATAAACGGTTGTAGGAGTGGTATTATAAAGTAGCACTGGAGAAAAGCTAGCAGAAACTTCAGGACTATGTGAGCCTTTGAAAGTTATTTTAAGACTCTAGTGCCATGGTGTCCAAACCTTTTTCATCATACACCCCTGTCAATAAAAAGCTTTTGTGAACACTCCCTCAGTATATGTACAGTTATTTATTTATAGGTTTTATACAGTTACTGCTGTGCTAATATATTATGTGCATTAGAAAACATACATAAAAACAGAAACTAAAAAGGATGTTATAAAGATGAAATAATTACTGGTTTACTTTTTGAATTTTATTAATTAATGGGACAAAAATATTTCCTTCAGCACCCCAATGAACTGTCTTGTGTGCTTGTTGGGGAGACCAGTGCTCTAATATAGCATGGTGACATTTAAAGCCTAGATCTATAGTTGTATGATCTGCTGATACAAATACAACATTGACACTTTCATAGGATGTGAAGTTCTTTGACCCATATAATTCTCACTTATAACCCCTTTGTTAATAACTTTCATAAACAGTTCCTACTTTTGATTTCTAGAATTTATGAAACATAAGACGCAACTATCCATTGGAGTCACATAAAAATATGCCTACTCTACAAGTTCAAAATAATTAAGACTCTTAATCATAGCTTGTGTATGTGTCTATACTTCTGATTGGCTTAACAGATTTATGATTGTGTTGAAAACCATAATTGCTTCTCGTCTGGATTTATTACTTGGAAAGGGGACATGGTACCTACAAGCACATAGAAGTGCAGTTTTCAGCTGCTGCCAAAGATACCTACTTTGATGTATCATAATCTATAGCTAAACTGATTAGAAAATTACTTTACCTAAATTAGGAAAAAGGCATTTTCAATTTCCGTAGTAAGTCCTGCCCAACTTTTTGCACAAATTCAAGTGAATTGAGGACAGTTTGCAGCCATGGATGGAATAAAAGAATTACAGATGTGTATTTACTTTTGCAGTCAGCTAATAGCCTCATGAACAGAGCAGCTACTATAAAGAAATACCAAAGGCCTTAGTAAACACACCCCTAATTGGCTGAAGTATAAAAATTGCATCTTTAATAAAAACACCTTTAAAAATAACAGTGTTATTTTAATAACACATAAAAATGTGGCCCTTTGTGAGTTCAAAGTCATTGCACCTTAAGTAAAATCAAATATGTGTGAGAGATGCATGTCTTGTTTTCACATTAAAAAAATGCATGAATGGACATAGTTTGAAATAATTAATGAGTAATACATAAGTGCAAAGGCATAGCCTGAGTTTTAAGCTCTTCTTAGTAAAGTATAAGGAATTAAGTTTGAAATATAGAGGCTGGGAAGATGCCCAGTGTTGCCTTACACATACTTGCTTCGTTAACATGTCCTATAGCAGTGTAGTTGTATTTGTACTGAGTGAATTTTGACTCTGTAAACAGCTCTGAATCTGAGTCATGTGGTTTCAGAAGACAAATGAATTGCTAGCTGCCCAACAATACCCAGCAATGAAGCACCTTTTTCTGCAGGAACTCATATCAGCCCACTAACTACTAGTTAACTTCATCTCTAAGTAATAATGAAATATTATTTACTCTGATGGGTCAAAAGTAAATATTGAGAAACATTAACTACCCATAATAAAATCTCTCTAGCTAACACTAGTGGCGTTGTCTATGAAATGAAGTGGGTTGTCTTATTTCATATTAGTTAGTTCATGCTGCATTTGTAAAGAAACGAGTCTGGCTGTTAAGTGTGCCGTTCTGCAGTGGCATTACTTGATCCCCCACTACAATTGAAATCTGGAACCATCTCTTCTCTATGAGTCAGCCAAAGAGGGCACAGCATTATTCTCAGTTTTAGCATGGTATGATTTTTTTCTGAGCTTAATGGAGCAACTTGACATGACTTTATATGTGACAAATAAGGTGTAACAGTAGCCAAGTTGTTTTAAATTAAAGATTCTGGATGTACCTTACTCTGTACAGAAAGTGAGTTACCTAGATGCTGAAGGTTACATTACCTATTTTAAAAATATGATGTCCATATTCTAGTAATTATTTTTAAGAGCTTGGACCCTGAAAATTATAATTAGAACAAGAAGGGCTTGAAAATACACAGGTAGGGTTGATCTGCAGGATTGCCAACATCCTTTCTAGCAGAGAATAGTTTTTAGTGAGGCTTAACATATTTGTACAGACCAAATATCTGAGTTTTTTAAGATGAATCAGTTTGTGTCTCTTTATTTGAAATTAACATGCCTCCCAAATTAGGTCAGTAGAAGTATTCCTTCCATAAGTATTAATTAAAAAAATAATTAAAAAATCTCTGCACAAAGAAAAGTGGAAAACTAAAAGAATAGCACACTACAAAGCAACGTGTGCTACACTACAAAGTAAAAAGTACTATGCACTGGGGGAATGATGTTACTAATGAAGACGTTTAAAGGGTATATATTTTTGCCAGAATATAAATCTGTAATTAGTCTTCCCTTTTGTAATACTAACATGTTTGTTGTGCATGTTGATATAGTTATAGCCTGCAGCTTCTATTACAGGGTAAAAATAGTGCTTTGAAGTGCAATACATTATGCATAGTACATTACTTACTTATAGGAAAATGCCAAAACTTCTTTTCAAAAATTTACATACACCTATTTGACTGAAAAGGACACCCACTGTTCAAATCTAACACTATCGTCTGGCATAGGCATCTGCTCTGTGCCACACAGCTACCAACTAATAAATTAAAGCTCTCTTCATCCTCCTTACAGAATTTCAGGAGGAGAAGAGAATCCACATCTGGCAGATAATATTGCAGATACTAACACTGGAATGAGGGAATGACCAGAACACTCCCCGTTATGCTAACCAGTTACTGCCAGAAGTATTGTGGAGTCCTGAATCTCAGCAGCCTGTGTACGCAGTCACTGATAAGAAAGGCTGATGTTATAAGGATTTGTTAATCCCGTTCTCTAGGTCTGTAATTTGTCTTAAAGCTTTGCTTCTGAGATGGATTTACAGAAATTGGAGGTCACAAAACATAACATAATAAAAAAGAAGCTGTTTACACCACATATTCTGCATTAGCCGTTAGAATAAGTAATGGTGTTCTTCAGTCCTGAAATGTGATAAAAAGCACTGCATCCTGAACAGGAAGAGTAAGCCAAATCAAAAGACTTCACTTATTGCTTGAAAACAAGACAAACAAGTAAAGTTGCTGTATTAAAGTATCTAGAAAAGTGTTGCAGGCTTTTGCAGACAAGTCTTGTTGGATTTTAAAGGCAAAGGCACTTTTTCTTGTCTTGAAAGACCTACACATAACAGTTCTGTCTCCAGTTCCAATAAAAATGGGTAGAAATCTTGAAGATACTTAGCTTCCTCCTCCATATGCCTTCTCTGAGTCTGAAAGGGTAAGATGCCAACAGTATGCAGAATATATGGGTTTGAATATCGTTTTTGTACATAAGTGAATTTCTGACATGACTCTTCCTTTGATTAAAGGGAAGTCATTGTAGAAGCCTGTCTGTACCTTGAAAACTGATGATGATCTTGTTTCATTTTTACCTGTAAATACCTGTATCCAAAGTTCTGCAATAACGAACTTTTCAAAATTTATGTTTAGTGGTCACATTTCCTCCTGCAAAGTATTGCATTTAAGTGTTGGAGCTAGTAATCACAACTGCTGTGTTTCATTAGAGTGCTCCTTTTAACTGCTCTGTAACCGGAGCATCCTGTGGCCCTATGTATCCTAATTCTTCAAAACTCTGTAGACACCTATCTCTAGAGATACCTCTGTTCCTGGTTCCCCAGCTGGTAAAATAGTAGTAACACTTCCTTTTCATCATTATTGCCATGCTTTGTCTGTCCCAGTTCCCTTCTAAGGTCTTTGTGAATTACACAGTGACCCACAAGGACAGTGAAAAGATTTAATTGAAGTAAGCAATAGTATTGCATCTCAGACCAGAAGGCTGCATAAACATAAACTCCCATTTGTTCTGGAGAGAAGTAAAGCCATCATATGTTGGTGAGAGCATATGAAAAGCGTAATGGCAGCTCAGTTTCATAATGGAAACTACTAAGAACATAAAACAAATGACTGATGATAAGAAGTCTTTGAACCAAGGCCTCTTGAGTAGCACTGCCATTCCTTTAAGTTTATTTCCATCTATTCTTATCTTTTCTTGCCTCCTCTTCAGTTTATCTGCTCCCGCAGTTCCTGAAAGGAATTTTATTTCCAGCAAGCAGCTTTCAGCCTGGAGCCTGTAGTTACTAAATAGATCCCAAATACCTTTCCCTCCTTGTCACATTTTTGAACTATGTGAGGTATGAAGGGAACAGGATTTCCCAAACTACTTCAAGAAATTGTTACCACATAATTAAGTTCAAATTACTAGTTTTAGCAGAGTGAGTCTCAGGGGCAAGAGCCCCCTTCCTATTAGTCACATGGATCATTCACAACATTGCAAAAACCTTTCCCAAAGTAGTCAGCTAGTATGTAACCCAGTGCTGGCTTAAAGGGAGTACCCCTTTCATTTGGTGCCATTTGCAGTCTAACTGAACATACATTAGCATTGTTTCTTTCAAAATCACACGTGATTTTACAGTGTTACATTTCTTTGTATTTACCTCACATCTCTGGATCAAAACAACATTTCCCAATAGGAAATTAGATGATCCTCCACAAATGTCACAGGAACATGGACAAACAGCTGTTTTAGTTACAGATACATTTACACTGTGCATGTGCACAAGCAAGAACAGAAGCAGCAAACATGGGATGAGATAAATGATGCATGTAGATAGATACGGTGCATCCATATTAGCAAGTGATATAGTTTGGCACATCACCAAGATTACTATATATAAGCATGCTGGAAATCTGAGATTTGTAATAGTTAGATGACACCAAATTTTAAGTTCTGAGTCATTCAAAGGAGAACATCTCTATAAGCAGCAAACTCCCTAAGGCTGTGGTCTTCCCATGCTGCATTCTCCCAACCATTTAGTACCAATACAGGGTAGAGGTATCAGAAATTGGGTAGCAAAAGAATTCTTCTGTGATAAAAATCTTGATTTTGACTCCAGCTTATCTACTTTTCCCAGTGTACTTCTGATGGAATACAAGCAAAACAAACTTGCACAGCAGGCTTGATGTTTCCTAGGTAGCCATGAAGTCTCACCATGAGATTTGCCACAACCCACATTACTGAGCCAGCTCAACCATGGCCATTGCCCAAGCACTGAGATTTTAAAGGCCTCCAGGAGCTTCACTACAAGAGTCCAACTCCTGAGCTCAGAGGGGGGCATTCCAATTGTCAAGAGCCTCAGATCTTAGGAAGCCAAGATTTAGTAGTCAGTTTTGCAAGTTTCTAAGCAAAATGTTGCCACTGCTACAAAAAAAAAAAAAAGAAGAAAAAAAAAAAAAAAAAAAACACACCACCTTAAAAAAAAACCCAAAAAAATTTCTGTGATAGTCCTCAGGTGCCCCACCAAATTCATGCAAGACAGCAAGGCCAGGCGATGGCCTGTCCTTGCACAGCCACTCAGTATGATCGTAGTTGTCATAAATTCAGGGATTTTTTAGAATAATGTACTGTGACAGAATGAAATACTGGATCAGCTGAAGTGTCTTTGGCAAGAGAAATTCCACACTTATCTTTTAATAGTATTTTTAGTCCTTGTGCTTTAGAAGCTATTTTTGCTATGGACTAGAAGGGCTGTAGCATGTACATTTCTGTCACCAGAACCATAAACATATGAAAGTGTGACATGCCTCGAATGTGACACAGAAAAGGTAAAATTAAATTCCAATGTGATTATAGCAGACCGTATTGAGGAATCTGAATATTGATTCTGTGATACATAATTCCATGGAAGAATAAAAGAACTCATAAATAGAGATATTGTGAAGAGCACGACCTAAAGTAAAACTACAGTTACGATGAATTAGTATTTAATTTGAATGTGCACTTCCCAGGGGAAAATAAAAACAGAAACACGTTGCCAGTATGTAAACCACTACACCCATTTTACAATCACAAGCCACAGGAAAGTTTAATGCTGTTACTTACAGGCTTGGTCATTAATAAAATTTTAAACCATTACAATTTCTAGTGGGTAAAGTAAGCATGCAAAATAAACACCCTGAAACTACCTAAAGGAACATGTCCCTCTCTGTTTGTGATGGATGCTAAGATTGGGTTATATTTAATGTTACTTCAAATAAAGAAGCTGGAATGTGATACTGCATGCAGCCTTTTGGCCAGGAAAGCTGTGGGAGTCTGAAATAATGAGGCCTAGGTTTATAATTCCAGCATTCCATAATTCAGAGTTTGTTCAGTTGTAAAAATAATTACACCCCAAAATTGTAAGTGTTGTTACCTTCTTGGTAATCAGTAGCTTATTTAGAGCCAAAATTGAAGGAGCAAGTATGTGTTTGGCTTTTCAAGAGTTTTAAAATCATTTTCATAATTCATTTTCAAGTCATACCTGGGTTACCGCAAAGCACAGGAAATGTTACTTGAAAGCCAGGCAAGTAGTGGCTTCCTTTGGGTCTGAAGGAAGCAGGAAGCATGCAGAGCTATGTCTGAGCCACTGTGGTAGAACAGCAGAAGGCATCTGCAGAAGGCATCTGGCATTTCCCTCTCTGACTGAGCAGCTTCTAGTGGCTTCAGCATTTTTCTGCTTAGATGCCAGCAGCTTCTCTGGGAAGCTGGGAATCAGCTGAGCACAGTGTATTTTTAACTCTTCCTTATCTCACACTGCTGGCCTAGCAGTGATGGCAGGCACATTGTGATTCACCTCCTCAGCCTCTCACCCAGCAGTGGGGCCAGGCTGCTGCTCTGACCTACTGGCTCAGCTGATTGCCTTCCCTTCTTGCCCACTAGCACTCCTCGGAGCATTTCCACAAACACATGTAAATTTAGCCCCATAACTGACTTCAATTGTCTTGATATGTTAATTTCAAAATGTTGCTAGAGCTCTCAGAATGTGTTGTCTCTTGATGGGGCATCTTGGATGGCAAGCTGATTTGATGTAGGTAAATGATAAAGAACATTTGTGTGTTACGGGTATTTTTACAGGTAACATTCCTCTGATATTTTGACATAGCTACTGTCTTAAATATTAAAAATATAATTAAAAATTGAATAAAATACACACACACATTAAAAAAATCCAGTTTGGTTTACTGTTTAAAAAGGATTAATTCAACTCTGAGATAAAGATGTGACTCAGGTCTTCCATTATCCATCCAAACACAACAGTTTGTTTTTCTGGAGTATTTGGTTTTGTCTGGGAATGCACTAAAGTGAAAGTTTTACCTAGCCAAGGCTCAGATTCTCGTGACAGCTCTGAAGAAAGGAAGCAGTCAACGTTAACTTTAGTATCTTTAAAATTTAGCTAGGAAAGATTGTCAGAGGAGAAAAGTCTTTGACTGAATCTTTGCTTATCAACGTATTCCTTTCTGTACAGAAATATGAGCTCTGCTGGCCCAGAAGGAAGGAAAAAGATGAGAGAATGTGACGGCTTAATTGATTCTCTTGTGTATTATATTCAAGGAGCTATTGCAGACCACGAGCCTAATGACAAGGTATTCTTTGAGATGAAAGGTCTTGTCCTAGGGGAAAACCAGTGTTCAGAAACAGTTGTGATGTAATTGCCAAACTTATTTCCAGAGCTTTTAGAACTGCTACCTAAGATGTAAGTCCAGGAAGAAGCTTTCTGAAGTATTTATATCCTGCAATCTAAAAAAATAACATACCTTAGCATTGGGAAAACATTTTCAGAAACACCAGAGAGAGCTAGAAACTTCTCTTTCTTTTTAAAAGTTACATAAAATCACAGCTTTCAGAGAAAACACCTAGAGAATCAGTACTATCAGTTTAGCTGTCTCAGGGAGGTAGCTAAGCTAGAAGCTTAAAAAATTAATCTGGTTACTCTCCTGTATATACTTAGTGCTATATACCCCTTAGGAAATGAAGAACATAAATCGCTTTGGTTGGCAGTGTAATTAAGGAGTTTGAATCATTTTGAATGGGATTCATTTTTCTAAGGTATAGTTATACTTGCTGCGTAAGCTAGTAACTACAAGGACATAGACACCTCCAGAAGCCAGTTGCTTTCATTTTCGTCCTCCCATCATTGCCTGCAGATAAACCCAGAACGTTGCTTAAACAAGGTGCCTGTCTTAAAGCTGGGTGAAGTTGGGTGAGAAGATCAGCCGTCACTCACAAGAAGCTTAGCCTCAGCAAGTGAGGCACTTCTAGTGTTCCTGCTATGACTTGTGCTGTGTAGTGGCAATTACTGCACATTTATAGCTCTATTCTAGGATTAGTTACTTGAGCTTCTCCATCTCCCTGTATTCAGTGCCATTAGCTTCAGGGAGAATACAGCACATTACATTTGTGCCAGTAAATCCCTGCTGCATTTTGTCTTAAAACTACTCATTCCTTTTACTTTCAAATAAGGAGGGACTGGTAATAAAGCTATTTGCCACTAGACTCATCACTCAGAAATTGTAGACCCAACCTTAGCTGTGCCGAGAAAGGCACCTATAATTAAAAAAAAGCATTCTAGCTTATTCTTTAGGAAAGATACAAAATTTCCCTTTTGCTGATGCTACGGTGTGTTGTGTACGTGATTACCTTTACTGTTAAGCTCTTAAACAGTCCTCGGCACACTTCTGCTCTGTGCCAAATAGCACTCGCCCAAACAATTCCCAGGCACAATTCAGGAATTATAATGTCCCAGGACCATTTCCAACAGGCATGCACCCTGCTCTGAATACAAGCCATGTGTGCCAATTGGCTTCTGTGCTCAGGAACATCCTAGGGCATGTTTAATTCATGAGTGTAAATGCAGTCTTGTGGATCACTGGCACAAAGAATGTCTTCTGCAAGACATTAGAAGCTGAAGTTTGTTGCTGAAGGTTCAAAAATGAAAGCTCTTCTCGAGCCTATGCATGTCCCTTCATCATATGCCAAAGCTTTCAAGATTTCTATTCTTTTGTTGTTTTAGGCCACAGAGAACTGTGTGTGCACTCTTCACAATCTTTCCTACCAGCTAGAGACAGAGCTCCCTGAGAGCTATGCCCAGAGCATATATATGCAAAGAAGAAATACTTCTAGCAGTGATAAAACACCGGGCTGTTTTGGAACACGAAGCAGAAAAGTAAAAGAGGTAAAGCATATGTTTAGTTACATCTCATCTTGTCAATCAGCTGTAGCAGCTTCTGGAGAATAAAGATGTAATCTGCTTAGCAATCTGTTATTGATGTTATCTAGTAATGTGACACTTATTTGCCCCCAAAATGCAAATTTATAATAACACCCATAGTAATTCATTGTTTCATTAGATGAGGAATACTGCCACTCAGTTTCATCACCTCTGATGGTTCTAAGTGGTACCTGTACTGTGCACGGAAATTGTGCAAGTGCCCCGCCAAAAAGTGGGTGTTGTGACAGTTTCACCAGTAAAACCAGCACAAGGTGACTTGCCACTTCCGTGAGTTGCTAGCATTTGGGCTACTTCAGGACCTCTTCTTTTGATGCCATGTGGTACAAATATTCTGGTGACAGGGCATTGTTGGAGGAAAGCAGGTACTAACGGAAGGTAGAAGTGAAATAAAAGGATTTATGACCTTTCCCCACCTATTGGTTTTGCTGGAGTGTATTTTGCCTTCTTCTGTTCCATCCACAGTACAATTGTAGCTGGCCATTTCTGTTTCTCCTTGGTCTCAGCCCCTAGGGTCAGTTGCCGAGAGATGAGAAGCAGCTTCCCCTGCACCTATCTCCTCTTTCTGGATGGAGAGGCCAGTATAGTTAAATATTGAAATTTTACATGTTGTCATCTGAGCTCACAATGTGAAAATCTGTGTATAACCTGCTCATAGAGAGGTACAAAATGGCTAGTTTAGTTTGTGATGCAGTAAGTCATATAATGTCAGTGTTTCTAAAGGCTTGATCTGTTTGCATGTTTAGAAGCAGCAGGACACACCGCTACCTGAGGAAAAGAGCAATCCCAGAGGTGTTGAATCACTCTGGCATTCCACACTGATTAGGATATATCTCTCCTTAATAGCAAAAAGTACCAGAAACTATACCCAGGAAGCATCCTTGGGAGCTCTTCAGAACCTCACAGCTGGCACTGGACCAGTAAGTCAGCTTTTTTCTTCTTCTTGTTTTCTAATTCTTAATGTGAATGTATATTGTTCAGGGCTGCAGTGCAACATGCTCACTGCACTGAGCTCAAATGGCCACTGATGAGTCACAAGCTAGCAGACATGATCAAGGAAATCAAAGAATATTGAAGGGAAAGTCATAACCAGCAGTGAAGCTATTTCTTGCTTGGCAAATACTGATGCTTCTCACCCTGTGTACTCCTCCATATGTGGAATTTGCTAATTCATTGCACAACAAGGGATGAGTAGATACATGTTAAAGGCACCACAAAAGTGATTTCATGGAATATAATCAGTCCCATGGGGAGAAGAAAGCTTTGACACAACCATAGATCACTTTTGTGGTGAGGAAACTAATGACTTTTGTCTGGTGAACTGGCCAAAGAGGACATGGGAGAAAGAGGGCTTGAAACTTCTTTTATATCACCTGCTTGAATTGATGTAGGGTTTTTATGAGGCTATGCATTCACGGTAATGACACACTATTGCTGCATGCTGTATAACAGATGCCGTTTTCAGTGGCCCGAACTGTTGTTCAGAAGGCGAATGGCCTTCCAAGTATTCGAACTATGCTGCATGTAAGCCACCCGACAGTAAAGAAGACAGCAGTCTCACTGCTCAGGAACTTGTCCCGCAACACCTCTCTTCAAAGTGATATAGGTGAGCAAAGACTCATTGTCTCTTGGGCTTCCTCAGCTCTCTTTGCCTTAAAGTTTCCTTTTCTAAAAAAAGAAATGTGCAAAAAGCTGATGCATGAGTTTAGTAGTTTTTTAGGGCAGACACTTGAAGTCACTACACAGGGCTGAAAATAACAGTTCTGACTAAGAAAGACTCTAACCTCAAGTTTTCACTAGTGTTCCTCGTCAGAGACTTTCATTGATATTACTTTCAAAAATACATAATGGAAGTAAAATCTATACAGATTTGGAGAGGGAGTTTTTCTTCTGCTTAAAATAGGTAAAAGAGAGTGAGTCCTGAGTTCTGTATTGTCACAGCTATGTAATCCTTTGCAAGGAATCATACAGCATCTATAATTCTTCAAGCAAACATTGTATTTTCTTCTTTTAGACAGAAAGCTTTGTAATCTTGAAGTTTACAAAGGTTTTATACAGAAGTTTTTTGAGAATGGAAGCTAGAAGGTGGTACAGGAAAGATAGCTCAGGCTTTTTAGGGGACCTTATTTCCAAAATATTATTATTATTTTCACATCAGAAGCCATTTCTATTCTGAGTAGTCTCATCTAAATTTAATGTATATTTGAATTTTTTTCTGCTTATGGGATAAAATCAAGGCACATTATTTGTTTTACTTTGTTCCCACCAAAGGGGAGGAGATGTGGAAATTACAGGCACACAGCTGGCTAATGGGGACATTAGCCTCCAGAATTCTGCAGAACAGTCTCCTGGGCAATGTTTAATCCTTGGAGAACATTCCCTGTTAATGCAAATACTGTAACATGTTGTTGGGTTGATTTCAAAGGGATAATCCATATGGTGTTAAAAATTACAAGTGGTGAATCCACCAGTAAAAGTATGAATTTTGTTTCTGTTCTAACTTACAGCTAAAGAAGTTTTGCCTGATTTGGTCTCGATACTTCCTGAGACAGTCCCGGGGTCTGATATTGTCTGTGAAACCACGGCATCCATCTGCTACACCTTGTACAATCTGACACAGAGCAGTTCACACAATGCACGGCTTCTCCTGAGTGCTGACGGCCTACCGAAGATTATTACCATCAGCATGAATGACAGGTAAGATGGTTGAGACACCTTCTCCTCTCCGTTCTGCTTTCCCTGGGAGAAAAAAAGAAACTGCATCCTCTGCCACTTGGAGGATAAAAACACTGCATCACAAGGTACAGGACAGCTTAAGCAAGTGACTGTGATGTGAGTAAAATTGCACGTGTTTGGAAATACGGAAAAAACCTCTTATAGCAACTGTTCCGTCCACAGCTAAATTTGCCATGTTACAGCATTTTAAATAACTCTTCGGAAGATAACTGCACAACATTATCTATATTCTGATATATACAGTGACTGACCAGCAGATCTTATCTGTCCCCAGAAAATTTCTATCTTTCATGTTCCTTGTAACATAGTCCTGATAATCTTTATCAGTAAAGTGCAGGGATACATTTTACAGAACCTACTGAACTGTACTTTAAAAGATGTTTATAAAGTGGCATTTTAGAGAATAGATTTGAAATTCCTGTAATTATTCTTCAACATGTCAATACATGCAACCAATATTTACTCAGATGTATTAATGTATTTATGAATATGAATAATTATTCTGTTTGCCTTCCTCCCTTTTTACAAAAGGGTAGAGGAAATTCATCTCAGCAAAGGAAGCCCTCACGAAGTCCTAAATACTTTAAATCCCATCTAACTAACCCGAGATTTTACCTGATAGAAAGATCCTTTCAAATGGTTGTTATGCTGAGGAGTATTTTCCTCAACTGAAAATTTCTAGTATGATAGCTGCTCTAAGATGAAGGCTATAAAGTAGTTAATTTCTCCCAAATGTTGAAGAATTAGTCAAGTAGGGAGTCATGTTTCCTTTTTTCTTCAGTAGTCAGGACAGCATGAAACGTGCTAGAATGCCTGAAAAGCAGTAAACCAGCACGTAGGAGGAAAGAGGCAGAAAAATGCTACAAGGTTACATTTGCTGAAGTCTGAATATGCACTGTGATTATGACATGGGAATTTCAGATATTTTATCATTCTTTTTGCAAAATTGCAGTAACGTGTTCAGCAAGGCTAGTAGGGCTGCTTCAGTCCTCCTCTACTCCTTGTGGTCACATACTGATCTTCACAGCGCTTACAAAAAGGTAAGATCTGGGTTGGAACAAAGATATGTAATCTGTTCTTTCGGACCTAGAACCCTCTCATTTGTCCTCTGGGGCCCTTAGCACTTCTGCACTGTTAAGAAACAGCCTATGACAGGGTTTCATGTGGTCTCTGAATTTGGTGTTCCTGTTACTTGTACATAATGCTGCACAAGTAATGCATGCCCTTGATTTTTACTCATCTTTGTTCATATTCTTTCCTTCTGTGGTTTTGTATCCACTGGCAAAGTTTCTGAAAAATGTTGCTTCTGCCTGCCAGAAGTGTCCGATGGTGAGAAGTGATGCGCAGTAGGTGTCCATCCACCGCTGACTGGACCAACCTGACACACAGGGCTAAGGTGCCAGAAAACCAAAAGAAGGGCGAGGCAGCTTCCTGCTGTAAAACCAGAGCAGTCTTGTTGTTTGTATGGCCTGGGAGCCCAGGTGTTAGTTATATTCAAATAAAAAGCTACCGCCTGGCAAAGGTGTTGGCAAATGTTCACTGCCACAGTCAAAATCAAACAAAAAATGACCGACATGAATCATCCAACAAACCAGTTTGTGTCTTTCCTGTTGAAGTTCTAAGACTGCTTTTTTCAACACACAGCTGGGTTAATTTCAACCTACCTACCTTCAACCCTGCATTTCAAATTGTTTTCATTCCTTGTTCTCTTGCTGTTCAGTATTTCTGACACCTAAAATTCCCTATTACCTAAACTTATTAAATTTTTAAAAACTCTAGGCTTTAGCATTTATTACTCAGCTTATTTCTTCTTGTAGATTTTTTGTTAAAAATTGCTCAGAAAAAGTTACTTAGTGTAGTATCCTTTAAGAGTCTTGCATCACACAGCAAGTACACTGCCCCACAAGCCAGAAAGCTGCATTCAGGAAAACGGGTGCTCTACCTATATAATCTCTAACTTGATTTTGTTGTCTCTGCTTGTTTGCAACTATATTTCTGACTTTAATGTACAGCAATATCCCTAATGACACCAATTTTTTGAAGTCACAGGTGCATACAGTGGGTATGCCTGTAAGACACATTTGTCAGATCTGAGTTTCAAAAAACACTGATTACTTGCTGTTCTTGTGCAAATTGGGTCCCTTTAGAGATACCAGGTATGGCACTAAAAACCGCAGGCCAACCAAATGGCTAGATGTTTTTGAAAAGTCAGTCTAATAAGCAACAGAAATCACTTGATCAAACGAGACTGATAAAATACTGAGTCATTTTGGCATTGCCCTGTAGTCTTTCTTCAGATAACGTTAATCTCAGCTGACATTAGTCACCTAAGAGTTACGAGTCTGTAGAACTGACGGAGAAGAATAGGCTCCTGGTACAGTCAGTGGAGAGAGTTAAGCAAATCCAGTGATTCATCGTCTCTCCTATCTTAGACTGAATGGAATCCCTCCTGAGAGATTCCTGTTCTGTCTCTGCTGATTGCAAAGGACTCTGCCTAGACCCCCCCACCATGGCTCCATATATAGCTTTTAGGCAGCTGAACCCACCTTCCCTTGCAGAATTGGTACTGAAGATAATGAATTATTCTGTTTCTTTCATTCCAAAGGCTGACTTTAAGAAGGCAGATTTCATCAATACCCGGACCACAAAAGCCTACAACTCACTAAAAGATTGAATCAGAGCATAACACCACTGAAGACAAGTGAGATCATACATCAGTTAACATGACTATCTTCACAGTGTTGCCACCACGAACCAGGAAGTATCTCGGAGAAAAAAAAGAGGCTGATTTTATATAAGACTGGAGTGACCAGAGGGTAGCTGTTTTGTGTTTTTAATCCTAATAACCTTGTTATCACTGTATATATCAATATAAGTATAACCAAAGATGGATTCTTCAGAATGCCTGAGGTGACATTTCATCCAGGTTTATCACCATTCAGTCAGAGCTTCAGACCTTTGTCTTTAGTCTAACAGGCATGTATACACAGAGGTTTGAAATGCTGATTAACAGCAAATTCTTTTCAGACTGTTTTATACATATAGTTTTCTACAGTAGATAAGCATCAAGTGCAATGCTCAGGAGATAACAGTTTTTCACTCTTTTGTTTCTTCCCACTTGCTGAATAAGAATCTCCAGATTCTGTGAGTATACACAAGGAGCTGTTTCACTGCTTGCATTATAAAAGCACCTATGAAGTTAAAATGATTATTTTTGTATTGCTCGTATTCAAGAGCTCACTGGTTCTTACGTCTCTTTCGTTTGAGATTCCATTAGCAACAGCAACAAAACTGATTTTAAATAGGTCTTATTCCTTGCTTCTCTTATCCTCCTTACCATGGCTCTTGGATTTAATAACAGTGTCCAGGAAGGGGTTTTTTGATTAGAACCACTGTGTTTCAAATGCTGTTTCAGACACTTTGGGCTGAACTTTGAACTGTCATTCTCGGCGAGTTAGTGGCAGCATTATTTGCCAGTGGTTAAGTGCTTATTTTAAGAAAATTGTATTTTCAAAACAATTCTGTTGATAATCTGTATACAGTAAAGGAAGTAAATTCTTGCCTTTATTTTTGAGGTAATATATACACACATACAAGAGGTTAGGCTTCATGCTGCTTAAGAAATTAATCTGATCCTGCTTCACATTCTCTCACTTGAACTCATCATCCTCCCGACAGCAATTATGTGCAGTGTGATAACTGAAGGACTGTGTTTGCACATGTGGGAATACGTAACAGGAGGAGAAAAATTCCAAAGCACCTAAAGTCTGTTTCCCTCAGAGAGGGAAAAAAAGCACTAAAAAACACCATTTGATACCTTCCATAAGCAAGTTTCATATTAACAAATGAGTAATTTAATTGTCTGTTGTACCAATAGGAAATTTATATATAAATATATAAACCTCTGTGGATTAGATTATCATCTGACATGATCTGGCATTTCTCTTCTGAAATCAGGGAAATAAGCTACATTCATGGCAACAACACTTTGGCATATGTATTTACAAGCCTCCTCACATGAATGGAGCCTGTCCTGTACCCCCATGTTGAACTGCTGGCACAGGACCTTTTGCAGCTGTTCTTATCTAGAAAGGGGTGCATAATCCTTAAAGTAGGGACCTCACTGGGGAGATCATCACTTCACTTTGACACTCCTGGCCAAAGGTCTAGCTCAGAAACTTACCAACTGCAAATTGTGACATTGCACTGTCCAAACATATTTTGAATATCAGGGAGCTAAATTCTGCTGGTAGATGCACATAGTTCTCACAGGGTTCCTAGGAAGTCCCACACGTGCCTACAGAACAGAACATGTCCTGGGGAGGTAAGCAAACAATCCTGTTTTCCCATCACAGATCATTTTCATAGGCCTGTTAGTCCTACACATTTGCTTTGAATAACTCAAATCAAATGCATTCCAGTAAGAGGTTTTAAAAATACTAAATTTTTTTTAGGAGGTCGTTTTCAAAATACTCCAGGTCCAAAAACAACACAGAGGAAGGGAACTTACAGCACCGCATGTGGAGGAAATTGTTTTTGTAATTTTTTAAAATGTAATAGAAAACAGACAATTAAAATCTAATTTTTTTTCTTCTAACTTGTTAACCTAAGTAACACTGCATATGCCGTGAATGAATAAGCACCAGAAAACCTGGACAAGTCTACTTTTACTGCTCAAAAGCTAGCAGTAGGCAAAACTAATATATGAAAAGTAACCCTGAATATGGAGTAGCATGGGAATGAAGAACTGCAGACTAAAGATCAGAAAAGGGACTTTTAGAAATGGTTTCATTCTGTGAAACAAAACACCAATGCTGGGTATTTTTAAATGTCCTACTTAATATGTCTATCGCCCTGTATGGTGTCCCTAAGAAGGGGATGCAAACTTTTTTGGGGCTGTTTCTATTGATTCCATGATATTAAAGGTCTTTTCCAACCTAAATTATTCTATGATTCTATGATACTGTTCCTTTAAAATCAAGTCACAAAGGAGTATATTAGACCTGGCAACAACTGAAAGCCATAAACAGAGATGAGGAACAGTGACACACCTTATTATGACTGATCTCCTACTTGTATGTAATCAAAAACATTTCGCAGTACTCCAAAGAAAGCAAAGAATGTTAGTCAGAGAAATAATAAAGTGTTTTCTCTAATGCAGAATATCTGTCTTTGGTCTTTGTTGTTATTCATGAGATGCAGTAAATGTATTTTCAAGTCTGAGCCCTTCCTTTAAAAGGGCAAATTCATTTTAAAATTAAATCTAGATAGAGAGACTTATAATTCTCTAAAAGAGGAGGGTGTTACTGGAGGCAAGCTGTGTAATGCTCTTGTGGCATCAGACTCCTCCTGTAAATAACTTGTTTTTATTTACAAGATCTGTTAAAGCTTTCTTTGTCTAGTGTCACTGACCTACCAAAGCACCTCGGATCTTTAGCTTTCACTTCTCTTAAACTGCTGTTTGCCAGTAAACTTTACCATGGGCCATATTACCACTGGAGATTTCAAACATAATCATCCGCACCATAGTCTTGTACTTGGGAAATATAACCTTCTTACTTACAGAGAGGAGATTTGACTTCAAACACAGTCAATAGAGTCCAGAAAGTTTTTGGCTGAACGAGGAACTGACCCCAGGTCTTCTTGTCTTCAGATAATGTTCTAACCACAGCCCAGTACAACTAGCTTTCACTGAACTGTTTTAGTAGAAACTATTAATTAGTATGGATAATGTTGTAGTAGATAACAGTAAACATAGACATTAATTCATTGCCAGAGAATTAGTCATTCCTTTCCTCATTTCATCTCCTGCCCTTCTTCTGCTGTCATTGCTCCTAAATATTAGTGCTTTTTCTTCTCACTCCCTTGCTAAATAGAATTAATCTGTGTAAAATATTGCATTATACTGTGCACTGACATGGAGTTTGGGTTACTTGGCTTTTTTGTAGGGTTTGTCTTTTGAGTAGGAACATGCTGTCCATTAAAAAAGGTTCAACCCTCCCTTCTGCGCCTATATAAAACTGCAGGTGACAGGAAGTGGCACCATCATGAGCCACAATACAAGAATCCAGACCTTTCACTAGTTACTGCTTAGCCTGGCAGTAGGTCCTCAAAAGGCAACTCATTAAAGCTGAGGGTATCTCAGGCTGCCAGTCTGCTTGTTACCATGTTTAGCCCTTAGGCTCCATCTTGCCAGAAGCATTATGTGTTCTTGTCTTTAGGGTCCAGGACCAAAAAGACCAACAGTATCACTCACACCCCTCTTGGGAGGTGGTTAATGAGATAGCCCAAGGAGCACAGTCACAATGTGAATCACGCACAAGCTTTGCAAAGTTGCGAGACTGGTATTTCCCAAGTTCTTTCAACTCCAGCAGATGCTCTTCCATTCTTTTACTTTAATTGTCACTGATTAAAACCTCAGTTTACATTCATGACTCATACTCTAGACCCAGCCCACGAGGAAGATAATATGACCTTAAACCATCATCTAATATGAGACAAAGATCTGGATAGAGCAGCAGAAATCAGACTGGAGAAAATGCACATTTGAGCTTAACATCACAATTCATCAAGGACAAGGCTTGAAGAATCAGGTTGTTAATATAACTATGTGAGTTTACACCTAGCATATTGTTTTAGATGTTGTATGGCATCTACCTATTGAAAATGCAGCAGGAAGATTTGTACAAACATATGAAAGACATAAAGGGTTTTATTGCAGATAGCATACATAGATCAGGATTTTGCAATTCTTTACAGCCATACTTTACATATTTTAATAGGTTTGCATATGATGAGGAAATAAACCCATTTTATGTCATTTAAGAGCCAAAAACATTTAACATACATATTAGAGGTATTGTCAGCTCAGGATCAGAAATTAAAGTTTGCTTGCATCCTTTCTTCCAGCGCGGTGTCCAGTGTGACTGAAAAGAATTCAAGTTTAGGAACTTGACATTTGCTATGAATTTTTCTGTTATTCAACCTAAACTCCCATTCCCATTATTTGTATCCTGTAATTCTTAATGACATTTCAGACCAGCCTAAATATCCACATATACATACAAAGAAAAAAAGAAAGAAAATAAAAAAAAAAGGAAGCAGGCATTTGCCTTACATGTCTTTAGCAGCTACAGTTTAGAGCCAATATTTTGAGCCAAATCCCCACAAGGTATCAGGGTCTTCTGAGCATGCCCATGGTCACAGAGCAGGCATCACCATGACCGTGAAAGGGAGTAGGGGCACGAGCTGCAAATACAGTGCTTGTCATTAGGCTCTTTTTTTCCATGCTGAACACATATTCCTCCCAAAATTGCACAAGACCCTCTCTTACCTATGCCTTCATTTTTGCAGTCTCTAAGCTCTAACCAGCTATAGAACTATGAACCAAGATGCCATCCCTCACACTTTGAAGGGTGTTGGCCTCAAAAGTCTCCAGCCTGCTTTTGCTTTCTGGGGCTCAGAAATACACCAGTATTTAGACATCTAAGAGCCCCTGTAACTTAAATTAGAGACTTCAGGTCTGTCTCAGCTCTGGAAAGATTTAAGGGCATTGTTTGACCTACACAAATATGCCTTACTTTGTGTTCACTAGGAACTGGAATAGCCAAGCCTGAGCCACTGGGCAAACACAAAAAACAATTAAGAGCGAAAGGGGCTTTTCTAGCTGCTGCCTGAGAGGGTAAATATCTTTCAGAAAGTTCAGAAACTTTCTGAAGCCCATGAAGGTCATAAAATAATGGGCCCCAGCCAGAATAGCTATGTTTGGCTTGGAATATCAACAAAATAAATCATCAGTGTTGTAGTGTCAGTGTTGAACTCTGCTTGGAAAGCACACTGTGCCTCAGGATACATGAGCACACTTGAGTTTAATTCAAAACACTGGACATTGGGCAAAGCCCAATTTAAAAAAATGTGCACAAGTCTAAGCCCCACACAACTCCATCCAAGGCTGGAGAACATTGGATGTGGAATACAGGATGAATGATCTGTAACAGATTAAAACAGACTGTATAAAAGAAAGCTGTTGGCTAAAAATGGGGAAACAATACAGAAGAGAAATACGCTTTTTCATCATAAAACTTCCCCTTTGTAGTAAAAATGTTGCATCATCGGGGTGGATTGTTCGGTGCACTTGTGCTGTAGTTACCTTTGCATTTGCAGTTACAACACAGTAACAGATAGGGTGCTGCAGAGAACAATGGAACAATGGAGGCTTTCAAAGACAACCTTTAGCCTTGAGGAGGGACAGGGTGGCCGTGCAAACTGTCTGCTCTCTCTGTTAGCACGTTGGTTTAGGAGTGTTATGCAGCTCCTCTTTAAAATGAAAGCTGGGATTACATGAATTTTAGTCTCTTTTAAAAAAACTGGAATAATGATTCTTAAGAAATTTCTTCTTTCCTGATGCTAGGAAAAAACTGCTCTAAACATATGATACATATAGCCATGAAATAAGAATTTATTAATAGGATAATATTTGTTGATTTAAAAGCATATGGACAAAGCTTAGAGTTTTTTAAATAAAGAGAGGCTCTGATGAGAAAGCCTGGCCTGATAATATCTATGCTGATAAAAAGGAACATATACAAAGTAGTATTTGCAAGAAACGTTGTAGGGTTTTTAGTTTTTTTTTTTTAAGGATGCTGCTACTCAACCTGAAAATACATAAAAACTGGAAGTGAAAAACTGGTGCTTTGGATTGCAGTAATGTTCCTGCAAGTGTTATTGCAAAAGTTTTCTCACAGATTAAATGGCACAAGGAGATGGAGGAAAATTTGTCTTCTGGTGTGAAAGACTGGAGCAGAGCCATTTGAAAGAGGTATGAGTGCCAGAGCAGTTCATTGAGGAGGGGGCAGGAAAGCCAGAACACAGGGAGGAGAGAAAGGAGCTGGCTTCTCTCTGGTAAGGAGTAAGGGATGACAGACCTCCAGTGAGAAGTGTAACTGAACAGGGCCAAGCAGCAAACACTACCCAGGCAAAAAAAAATGTATGACCTGGGTACACTATGGAAGGCAAAAAGGCCAAGCAAGCCGTGTGGAAAAGAAAGGAGAAATTTCAGAAGCTCTGAAATATGCATGGCGGAAAGCAAGACCACCTAGATGGTCTTCCAGTGCATCCGGCAAAGAGGACTCAGAATCATAGAATAGTTAGGGTTGGAAAAGACAACCACCAAGTTCCAGCCCCCCTGCCATGGGCAGGGACACCTCACACTAAACCATGTCACACAAGGATTTGTCCAACCTGGTCTTGAACACTGCCAGGGATAGAGCATTCACAACCTCCCTGAGCAAACCATTCCAGTGCCTCACCACCCTAACAGTAAAGAATTTCTTCCTTATATCCAAACTTCCCCTGTTTAAGTTTTAACCCATTACCCCTTGTCCTATCACTACAGTCCCTAATGAAGAGTCCATCCCCAGCATCCCTATAGCCCCCCTTCAGATACTGGAAGGCTGCTATGAGGTCTCCACGCAGCCTTCTCTTCTCCAGGCTGAACAGCCCCAACTTTCTCAGCCTATCTTCATACAGGAGGTGCTCCAGTCCCCTGATCATTCTCATGGCCCTCCTCTGGACTTGTTCCAACAGTTCCATGTCCTTTTTATGTTGAGGACACCAGAACTGCACACAATACTCCAAGTGAGGTCTCACGAGAGCAGAATAAAGGGGCAGGATCACCTCCTTCGACCTGCTGGCCACACTCCTTTTGATGCAGCCCAGGATATGGTTGGCTTTCTGGGCTGCAAGCGCACACTGAAGCCGGCTCATGTTCATTTTCTCATCGACCAGCACCCCCAAGTCCTTCTCTGCAGGGCTGCTCTGAATCTCTTCTCTGCCCAACCTGTAGCTGTTTCTGGGATTGCTCCGACCCAGGGGTAGGACCTTGCACTTGGCATGGTTAAACCTCATGAGGTTGGCATCAGCCCACCTCACAAGCGTGTCAAGGTCCCTCTGGATGGCATTCCTTCCCTCCAGAGTATCAGCTGAACCACACAGCTTGGTGTCATCAGCAAACTTGCTGAGGGCACACTCAATCCCACTGTCCATGTCAGCGACGAAGATGTTAAACAAGACCAGTCCTAACAGCGATCCCTGAGGGACACCACTCGTTACTGGTCTCCAGCCGGACATTGAGCCATTGACCACAACTTTTTGTGTGTGGACAT